GTTCAGTCGGCTCCGTGGCGAGAGCATCGGCCTAATTGGCCCGTGGTTGCACCTCGACTAGCCGGCAAGGTTGCCGCGGCTTGATAGGGACTGCAGATGACTCAATGCTGAGGTTCAGGCCTTCCGAGGCAGAATCAGTTTGTCACTTCCTAAGTCTCGCTGTTCTCTGATGTGTGAATCTTCCCCTTCCCTCCTTCCATTCTCTCCCTTTGCTATGACTAAACAGTGTAATTCATTCATTATGTATTAGGCCCTAAATTAGGTTAGCACATATTTAATCATTAATGTGGGCTAGCTTCTTTGACTGGTCTGCTGCATCATTAATTAAGGGTTTTGGAGATGCTAATTTGCTCTATGATCCGCAGGACCATCTGAAAGTCATGTGAACAGATGTCAGTTTTAATGTCCCGCTCGGTGCACATAAAGACGGCGGCCAGGGAATTGTCTGTCGGGATGGCCAGACGGGGGCCACGGAAAATCTGTGCGTCAGGGGGCACACCTAAAACGCTCCTTAAGAACTATGTCAATTTAAAAAGTAGGGAATGGCTTATGCCCTATTTGCACCCTATTTCTACTAACCAGCCTGTCTGACCAGATGTAGAGCGTGGAAACAAGTCTGTCGTGCCCCCCAATATGCGTGATGTTGTGTAGCCAGCGAAGAACAGCATTAACTACACTGTAACAAATTGCTGTAAATTTACGGTGCATTTCTAACAGTATCTTACAGTATGTCATAATAACTGTAACATACAGTTACATTTCCATCCCTTGCTTGTAAATTAACGGCCAATGTCCAACAGTTAAAGCTGTCAATTTACAATAGTAGCAGACTACCATAATTCAACTGCATGTTATATATATTTTATGAAGTGGTGGAAATACACATACAAGTGCAGTGAATCACAGTCCATCTACATCTGTTGTAGGTTAATGTATGGAGGCCCACGTCAGCCACTGAAAAACAGGTCTTGAAGTCATCATAATGAGATAGTATCTCATGAGATACGATGATGACTTTGACTTACACGACATATACATGCAGCTGTCACCTTTATCCAAAACGCCCATGGTTTCACATAATTTTATGTGGAGTAATTGCGGGTTAGGTGTCTTGCTCAGTGACACTTCAACTTGGCACAGGGAGCAGCCAGGATTCGAACCGCCAACCTTATGCTGCACAGCACACCCTCCCTATCCCATCCGCCGCCTTCGCTGTCGTTTCAGTGGCCGGAATGTAAAGATTATAAATATTTGTATTATTCAAAGTGTTCATTGCCTAAAAGTCATTTGAGTGTTAATCTGACCCACTGCTCCTGAACGTGACGTCAGAGCGTAATCTCAGTTCATCTAGAACACCTGTGCAGTTCAACATCAGAGGAGTTTCTCATTGCCTCGTCTCTCCAAGTAACGTTGGTAAGTGTTATTTGCCTTCATGATTAACATTCTCCTTCCTTACATCTTGTTGTCTTCCTCAACTTTGTAATTTTAATATTTTACCAATGACAGTGTTTCTAAACATTTCATTTTGGTTTGTTTTACAGAGGCTCTGGATTAAGGACGCCAGCCGCGGTCAATTGAAAGTGTTCCATAGCGTATTGTTGCAGTTAGTTTACCTTGTTCCTAATGATTTTATAATTCATTTTTTTACTATTGTATACATGCGCCATATTTTATGTTTTGTTCTTGGTTACAAATATCTAACATTTTTGTCTTAAAGGCATCTAATAAACTCCAACCACTATGACCGAAATGAGTTTGGTTGTCTTTCTTAAATCTGTGAGGAGTTAAATGCAAAAGTATACGGTTAAAAGTAAACGGTAACATTCTGGTATTTATAACACAAAACCAGTAATCGTATGGTTAACAAACTGTAATCCAATATACAACCACGTACCGTAAATTACGGTAGAGCACTGGAAATAAGACAGTAAGTTACTAGCGTCGACTGCCAGTAAATTGCAGTTAATTCACAGTAAAATTCGTTCAAGTTTACGGTAACATACAATAATCCATTTTATGGTAACATAGTGTAAAAACCATTTACGGTATTATACCGTAAAATAACGGTAAATTCCTGGCATCCTTGCTGCCAGTAAAATACCGTTAATTTACGGTGAATTCTTTTAGAGTGTACAGTTAGCACTGATGCTGCTACGCCAGCTACTGAAGGTACACAGAATTTGTTCACATGCTGCATTTGCATTTTTTGAATGACTGCAACAGTGAAAACAGGTTGATTTGCGTATCACCGCACCGCCCCCTTTCAACGCCACTGTTCATAACTAGTAAAAAAATGTTTTTCTGCAATATTTGTTATCTGAGGACCTTGTATGCATTTGCGCTCGGCCGAGGACTCGTGTCCGCAAACAAACCAGAGGTCAGAATCATTTCGCAAATATCGACATCTCAGACTTTTCATATAAAGGCACAGGAGTAGATGGAGGATAAGAGATAAGATGAGTCCAGAACATCCAACAAATGTGCACCAATAGGAGCACACGCTATTCAAATTTCCCTATCCCTACGGGGCAGCTAATAATAAACTGAGTGTGCTACGGTGTGTTGTGCGTACAATACGATACAATACACATCAAAAGTGATCAGAGCTGTTGCAGTATCAAAACTTTAGTCTTTTTCTCTCACTGTCGGCTGTAAAATCTGTTCGAAGCATCTGTGACGCTGGCATATTGCTAACTTTGCAGCGTTTCATTACTTTTTGATTTGTTATTTCACCCGTTTCCGAATCCCAGCGTGTCCATGGGGACCTGCAGACTGCTAAGCTATCTAGGCAATGAGGTCACTCATGAACACACTATTATGACTATAGCACTGTTCACATCATATTTCTCTGCTCTTCTCCGTGTTATGTGGGAAATGTGCAATGAGTGATGTCCCACATGTCCCTCTACCAATCAGGAATTATCTTGAATTCATTATTCATTTTAATCAGAATGTTATCGTGTGGAATCTGGTTGGTTGTTCAATAACTGCCGAATTAGCTCTGATCTGAGTGTTATACTTGATAGAATGTTAAAGAGACATACGGTGACAGCCCACCTCGCAAATTCACGAAAAAAAAAGCCCTTTAAACAGAACGTCCACACCAATCGCACCCACTGGGAAATGCTTCTTTATGCTAATATATCCAAGGAGCATTTCACACAGCATCAAGTTAATGCTTGAATAACATGAGGCAGCATCTGACACGTGACATCGCTTGCCAATTAATCCATGTGTGACAAAAATATGCATGCGCGGGCCCTTGGGAACTGGTTTTGGGGGGGAAAAGGCCTCCCACTCCCTCCTTCCAGTGTCCAGCCACACCGTGAGTCACCTTCCACGCCGTGCTGCTCCTGTCTGCTCCTGCTCTCCAGTCTTTGGCTTTGGTGACCTGGCGTACACACAGCAGCCTCATAAACTCCTCTCCCACTTGCCTGCTCACTGGTGAGGTTGCCTCTCCCTCTTCAGTCAGCAAAGCCCAGCTTTAGCCGGATGAACTGATGCACTCGGTTTCATGGCAACCGTCCCTGTAGTGCAGGCGTCATGGCCTCTTTTTAAACCTCCACTGGCTCCAGCTTCCCCCTCATGGCACATCTTTGAATGCAGTGAGTGGCGCAGAGTAAGGCTGAATCATATTTATTGATCAGCGCGCAGAATAGATTAAAGGCTCAGCCTGGCCAGAGTTGCACTATCGGCACATAATAATATCAGTTCCTCTGGGGAGTGGAGTTTTTTCTTCTCTTTTGAAGTGATGCCAGAGGACACCAGTGGGCTTATAAGTGCTGAAGGCTTTGCCTCCATACATTAATCCCTTGGACACTGCAAAGATACAGCAGTCCTTCTAACACAGGGGTGTCAAACTCAATTGCACAGGGGGCCAAAATTCAAAACACACTTCGCGGGCCGAACAGAATAAACATTTATTGAACACACTAAAACTAAATGTTTCTTTTAACATAAATATAAATACAAACAGACAGGAATGTAATTCTGCAATAAATAAACTTAAACTTTAAATAACTTAAAATATCTTGCTCTCCAAGTGACATGTGAATATTGTCGTGCTTTTTTGTTAATATGATAATGCTAAATGTGGAAAAACTGCGCAGGATTTTAGAACATTTTACAAACCGCGCCCCATACATCACTGCCAACTTTCCACACAGTTATTAGATCTCTTGTTGCACTTCATCTGGTGTACTTCGGATGTTTTCATCTTAATGCTCCTGTGTTTTCTCTTCATCATTTGTACTCTGTTCCTGATAAAACAGGAGTAATTTCTACTGTATTTCTCTTCTCCTCGTCGTGGTACGTAGGGGATATTAATAACCGGTGCACTGGTGGCCATCTGAGCTCGTTAAACGTAGCGCTCCACACACTGTTATTCCTTTGGTCCCAAACCGGCTGCCTGACAGCGGGCGGTATCGGTCACGTGTTCTTTTCTCTCATCTCTCTGCACTGAAATAAAGGCATTCATGTTGAGCTTGGAGATACACTATGTCTATCTGTTCACTGACAACTTGTTACAGTCAAAGCAGAACATTTCTCCGGACTAAACATCCTCCACTTTAAATCTGCCAATTATTTTTAGTTTATCTTTGTTTGTAGCCGGGGATGAAAGAGACCCTCTGTTGGTCTGTGATGGAGTAGCACAAACGAACCACTGTGTGGCGCTCCTCGCTTGTCCCCCCCCCCCCCCCCGGACACATGGACAAGATGCATGCTAAACCACACATAGGCGCTCATAAAATCAGTTTGATAACGTTCTCTTGCTCCACTGGTAACATTACCGTTTAATTCAATTCAAATTAAATAGGTTAAGTGTGTCTCATTATCTATTTTCTAATACATAATTCAAAAATGCTTTGTTCTAAATCATTAATTATGTTTCTTGTAACTATGACCTAACAGTATCACGTAACTCGCACAACATGATGATGACTGATAATGTTAAATTCTATTATTATCATACGTGATGACGTCATCCAAGGATTTGCGGTCGATGTCCGACAAATCGAACAAGGAGCGGAAGTGCAGCATGAGAGAGACGAGTGATGATTCGCGTATGAAGTTAGTTAGGCTCATGTTCATTTATATGACCATTGACGGAAGAAATTGATCGGTGAAGTTTCCTTCTTTGGGATACCGGGATATCAGACAGTCCTCCCGGACTAACCCGTCACTTTCTCAGCGAGCAGGAACAACTCAGGTAACGTTACGCTCTCCGGGACAGCGAGCTAACGCTAGCCGACGTTAACCGTTACGGGAAGGCTTGCGGTGATTTCCATTACCAAAGTAAGGTAGCAACGTTTCGGGAATATAATTAGGTAACGTTAACTATGCCGGTGGTGTGACTTCGGCTTGCCTCAGTAGAAGCAACAACGCCGGGCTAACTTCAGACAATGGCGTCCAACGTTTAGCTGGTTAACCTCAATTAACGTATTGTTACACGGCAAAGACCGAAAGAACAGCTGATGTCGACGTTAGCTGACAGCTAGCTATTTAGCTATTGCTACATTTAGGGACGGGGGGCTCGGCTATAACATGTGAGCCAGACGGGCAAACATCATATCCTATTGGTGGCCCGTGGTTTCTGTCTTGATGAGGAGCACCTTTTCCCTTCTTCATTGCTTTAGACCTCACATATAGGGAAGTATGTCTCAAACCAAATGGGGCCAGTAACCATCTGTTGCTTGGTTACGTCATACGTCCATCATGCTTTGAGGCAGGTCTGCCTCAATGAAGATACTTCTTCATACTGGCTTTATTTATCCGCCCCCCCTTTTTAAACGCCATTAGTGTATTTTTGACATGTTCAATGTGTCCTGTCAGCCAGGATGGATCCAGCTCTACTGAGGGAGAGGGAGCAGTTCAAGAAAAGAGCTCTGTCCAATCCGGCCGTAGAGAAGAGACAGGCCGCCTCCGACTCGCACAAGCGGAAGAAGCCCAGAGTTGACAAGGAGGGCTCCTCCGGGACCAAACACGGCGCTGGTGAGTGAAGAAGGCCTGCTTCCCTAATGTGTTTGTTACAGCTAGCGGTCTCTTCCCAGTGGTGTAAGTGCGTTGTGTAGGGATGGAAGCTGACGTGTAATTGTGGTGCCCATCGCCGTGCAGTAAGTATCCACAGAGAGGGACCAATTTAATGGCCAACTTTAACCGACGTCACTTCAACAGCAAGCTGAAAAAATAAGCCCCTGCGTTTTGCTTTTGACCAAAATAACTTGTATTTCATCTTTCTGAAACTCTTGATAAGCAGAGCACAGTTTCAATACATTGATGGATCTTTTACTCTTGTTGGACGATTGCAGTTTTGTATGCAGACAGTATTGAAACCTTTCCAAATTGGGCTGAATTTCATGAATGTGTGAGAATTTCTCAGCTGGAGTGGTTCTGTTTCTTCGGCTTCAGACATCCATTAGCTTAAGGCCTGTTTTCCAGGATGGTGCAGTTGAGGTAGCTCTTTGAGGTTCCCTCGTCTGTCCTCGACTCCCTATGGGCCGTTGCTCTGGCAGCTTCTTTACCGTTGTCCTGTTTGGCGCTCGTATCGTCTGAGCATGGTAGCCCTCCATCTCCAGGGCTGATGTCATGAGACAGCCTTCCTTTTCACCACTGTGTCTGTTTTTTATTCAGTCAACAGTGAGACCGCAGTGCCATCAAGAGACCAAACCGAGTAAACACAGTACCTGCTGCCGTACTATGAATACAGTACGTAAAGATACCACAGGTCTCTAGATACACAAAACAGTGCATTAAAAAAGAAGATGAGGAATTGAGGAATAGTTGGTGTTTAGTGGAATTAAATGAATCAATTAGACATCCTTTGACATGCCCAGGTTGCTAAAGGCCAAAGGTACATTCAAGACTTAAGCGTGAATTCTGAAAAGCTGCAGTCTGGTCACTGTTGTGTTCAACACACACCCACATGTGTAAATAAATGCAGAAATTGTTTGGTAAATGTCTGTGTGAGTATGAGTCTGTGACTCTTAATATTAACAATGTCATAGAGAGGGATGGGTAGTGTTTTTCTCAGATACCAGTGCTTTAAACGGTGCCTGAACGGCGACTTTTTTATTTTTTTATTTTTTTTTATTGATGAAATTTAAAGGGTTTTTTTTAATGCCAAGGCAAATTCTTTTCTTCGAATTGAACAATTTATTAACCGTTTAAACAAGACCTGAAAATATAAATAAATAAAAAACCCATGGCTTCAAACTACAGCTTTGAAGTTTTTAACTTCAAAAGAACAATATTTTAAAAGTTTACAGTTTAATTAGTGTCCCCTCTGTAAGAGCCAGAAGTGTATATATTAGTTCATTGGAATTTGGGGAATAGTAATCATTTAGATTTATGCTCGTGCAGGAACTACAGATATGTCACATATATTGAAAAGCATTTATGTTTGATTGGCGCTCCTTGTTTGTCTCCATGGATTGACGTCATGGTTGCAGCAGGTGCAACACAGAACAGCATTAGGCACAAGAGCATATAGCTGTTGTACCATGTGACAGAAAAATAAAGACGAAAAGAATCAAACAATTGTTGGTTTGATTGGCCGTGAACCTTAAACAACGGGTCTTTTGGCGGAGCGTCCAGCTCTGAAGCGGATGCAAAAGCACCGACGGGATTGTGAGGAATCACCGGGGGATCGCAGAGCAAACACGTGGTCTTCATTTCCATCACTTGCCACTACAATTTCTGTAAGCTGGAGACAAACCTGAATCGCCTCAGCGTGATGAGCTGAAGCTAAACATCAACGATGTCATCTTGCCCTTTTCAGTCAGTATTTGTGCACATTCAGGATTTCAAACTGTGATTCGTCGCCCCGGAGACCCCAATAGAAAGCGGTGTGGATTGTTCATTAAACGAGTAGCAACGTTTTCTCAAACGCTTCGTCAATACTTTTCTGCTGGATAGTTTTAGGCTTCTAAAGATTTGTCTTTCAGTGCTAGCCACCAACCCTCTGTTGGGCCCATTTCTGTAACCAGGGTAGCATGGGAACATGGGCAAGGTTCCCATCCCCTCATGCTACACTGGTATAAGGAAAGGAGATGGAAAAACCATTCATCCGGTGATGGCATGGGGCTTGTTTACGCTGAATGGCTAAAGCATTGAGCTGGTAACATGTTACTCTTTTAGCAGCTGGCTAGTTAGCTTTGCTAATACCGTCGAGCTTTTGTGCTACACCGGCCAAGGAGCCCCGCAGCAGCTTTAACGGACAAGATGGGGAGCCAGCTGACCAGCCAGCCTCTCGCTGTGTCGTCTGCCCCCCCCCCCCCCCACCCCCCCAACGGGCGTAGCACTCCGCTTATCCGGCCCTGCTCTCGTGGAGCACATCAGTCGCCTGACGAAAGAAAAGGCTGGTACATATTTCAGTGGCAATTTATTAGGCCTTTTTAGAATCATACATTATGCTCAAGACGGCATGATGAATTTACATCACTGTGCAGCAACCAAGTGTTATGAGCTAATTTTGCAAAGCTAAACGTGTTGACAACAGTGGTGTACAATTAACCAGAGAACAGAACCGCGGGATTTGATCAAAGTGCGCTTGATCTTTAGTTTTGTCCCGGTGGGAAACTGGGATGTCTTTCACTTACGCAGCGCTTTTTCTAACCATAAACAATAATTTGCCATATTCCTCAGAAGCGCATTAGCAGCCGGATCAGTGGATCAGCACACACAGGACTCGCATGTCATAGTACAAGAACACTCTTCTCTCAGCAGATATCAGGTCATACGAACACGCCACCCTATTTTTACATGAATCCTCTGTTTCTGGTGTAAAAAGTGTGGCTTTCAGGGTCCGCGTGGCAGTGAGTGTAGATGTCTAAAGATTCCTTCCTGACCAAAATAAAACGGCTAATTAAGACTCTCCCCGAATTAGAGGCCAACTGATGCCCCTTTCTTTTCTGTTACATAGTTCTGTGACCTCCTCACCCTCTGAACTCTTTACCACAACTGAACCATTTGTTCACTTTTATCCAAAGTCCTTTTCCTCAGGGCATCCGGGGTCCGCGCTGTGGCGTTCCTCTTCCACCCCCCCCACCCCCCTCCCCACTTCCCCCTACACCACCTCTGTGCGGGAATCCGGCTCCTTGCACATGCTGGTCATGAGCTGGCTGCAGCCGCCCGGCGCCTCCTCCTGCAGCTCGTGGTGTGTTTTCCCTTTGGCGCAGCACCCGCAGTCCAGCAGCTCGTAGAGCACAGCCAGCGCGGCCAGAGACACCACGGTGAGGATGAAGAGCAGCAGGATGACGAAGCAGGCCACGTTCCAGCCGTCGTGGAAGGGGTAGACCTCCTGGACCTGCAGGGCGACCCGGGGGACGAGCGCGGCGTCCGGGTGCCACGGGAGGTTACTCGGGTGTATGGCGCCGGTGCTGTTGGCCATGGTTCCTGGTCAGAGAGAGAAACAGACGGGTTGTTTGGTTCTGGTTGGGTTTTTTTCCGGTGGCAGCAGCAGGGAGCAGAAGTTATAAAATACTTATAAGTACTCATGGTGAGAGGACGAGTTAAGCAATCAAAGTTATAGAAGAACGCCTTCCTGCAGATCTGGCGGCGGAATTTTATTTTCACTTCTACACGGATAACATGTAGAAATGCTGGGGGTGGAATGAAAAGACGACGTGTTATCTGAGCAAAACGTTTGTATTGCAAAAGAGCACGAACCCCGCCGAGGCCATCTGCTCGGAACCAAAATAGACTTGAAAGCCTGGAAGAAGAGGACGGCTGCTCGGGGGAATGCTGCTTTTACGCTCCGTGGTTTGCCACGCTAAAAGGAAGCGTAGTGATGATGTTGGAAGGTGCTCTGCAGTAACCTCACTGTCAGATCGTTTTCTTTCTTCGGCTGTCCTCTTACAAGTCAACAATTTAAACGACTTCAGGGAACCTGGTTCTCTGCCCTCACACACACACACATGCACATGCATGCTCTATACACGCATATTCACATAAAAGCAAGCAAGCAGACATTTTCTCTATCGCATCATCCATCACATGCTGGGACCAAGGAAGCTGACCCAGATAACACTTGAGTGAACCACATAAATCAGTTAAGGGAGCATTAGTGTGTCGCTTCATGCTGTGAGCTCACTTAATTTATTCATATTGCATTTTTTTATTTCATTTTTTTGTCGTGGCTTCACTTGTGAGAAGCTGCCAAAATACCTGAACGGTGACGTAGTGGTTTCAAAGCAGGCTCCAGGGGAAGGCTGGAAAAGGATGGATCGGTTCACGGCCGCAGACTGAAGTGCACCCGCTGATCCTCTCACCGGCTCATAACAGCAACCTCGCTTCAACTCATCGCCATGACAACAACCTCTTTTTACTGATTCGTCTCGGCTGGTATTGCCCCCACCGTCTCCCACGTGGTCTCTGCTCTTTTCTTCCGTCACACTCACAATGACAGATTGGCTCTCTAGTCTACAGCATCTGTTATCCCCCCCCTCCCTCAATAAAAAATGAGCCCCACCTCGGCCAGGCCCTTAAGGTTTTGCGGGATCCTATGTTGCTCTCTGGTTTCGCACAGTGGCCGCCTCTCACTAAAACACACACCTGACTCTCTTATGCCCCCGGCTGCCTCATCACAGCTCATTGATTTTGTCTGGAGAGCTGCGGTCTGCATCTCCATCCACAACCAGGATGCAGCTTCCCACACACGTGCACAGAGACGTCTGGGAAGCGTGCAGACACAAATCCATGTTTATTTAATCCATTGCTTGCCCGCCCAATCCCGGGCCTAAATATTACAGGGGCCACCGAAAGCTCTCAGCAGTGTTATTGTAACTGCATTAAAGACAAAGTAATGCAGAAAGGAGTTGACTTTTGCTGCATAACGAACGCGCGATAGACGGTGGATTACACACCACAGGACTCCATCATCACAGCTACACGCTGAGCCACGCTATTCACACTGACTGAAGAGGAGTAGAAGAAGAAAACATGCCCACTCACCGGTGTGTCCGCCTCGGTCTCCAGAAGATGCAAGTCAACAGATGCGGCTCTCCCGTCTCGGCTGCTCCGCCTCGCTCCGCTCCTGCGCGCTCACTCCTCGACCCGCTTTTCCTCCTCGGCGCCGTCTGCCTTGCGCGCTCGCGCACGAACGCACTTCCAGTCGCCCTCCGTGCACCCGCCCCAACCCCCCCGCTCCTCGCGTCCCGGTGCCGCCTCGGTCTTCCGGCCATTGGCCTCTCCGTGTCGCCCTGCCCCTGCACCATTCGTCCGCCGGCCTGTCACAATGCACCACGCCCCGCCCACTGGCGCGGCCCGCGGCGGCAGAAGGTCCCGCCCACATACGATGAAGCGATTTATTATTTGCCAAGGCCATTTCTCCATCAGTCTTGGGGGGGGAACCGGCTGGCTGCAGCTCTCATGTACTACTGCAGTATTTAATTTAGTACAATAAAGGATACGGCTGATTATATACGCTCTGCTTTTCACAAGGTTCACTAGATGAAAAATCTACATGAAAAAATCCCAAAGGCAATGAGTTACTTCTAAGTTACAACAGTGTCATTTTTCTCTGTACCATGGATATGATTGGTTGTTAAAAGAACGAATGTTAATTCAGGTTCATGAACACTGAAAACAAGCTTTTTTTGTCAAATCCACTTTAATCCTTTTTCAGTAGGAACCACTTGGTTTGAGTGCACCGTATTGTTGGTTGGAGCCTTTTCATTGCATTTGTTTGGTGATTTTCTTTAGTCCACAGAGTCTGCTAGTTTCTGCCTTTTTTGCCAATAATGTGTGACATTTAAATATTTAGCCTGAACCTTTTTCTTTCTCTCTTCCTCCACAGAGTCTAGTAATGGCAGCTTCAACATCAAGACGAGCTCTGGGTACAAGTTTGGCTGCCTCGCCAAGATAGTCAATTACATGAAGGTAAGCCATCGCTCTTTGAGAGGAGCAACAATCTCCAGCAATCCGGTGAGGATTCTATTAAAAGGACAGTTCACCCCTGAATAAAAACTACACGTGTTCCTCTCTGGCGTGTAATGCTATTTCATCAGCCTAGATTGTGAACTGTTCTTCCGCTTGTTGTCATCTCATCAAATCTCCTGACGAGCTCGACCTTGTTGTCCGCTGTGACTCGAGTGAGTCAGTTGAGCTCGCCGAGTAACATTTGGTCTGCGGTCTTCCTCTTGGTGGCTAACAGCTTGTTTATCACGCTGTGACGCCGCAGAGAGGCAGCCAGGACCCGTCGCACAAACTCTCACACTGGACTTGACAGATTTTCCTTTTACTGTGTGCATTTGTTTTGCCATCTGTTCCGCGCGCAGCTTAATAAGCAATGCAGAGTACATCCTCATTGCTACTTGTTGTGTGTGTACTTTATGTAAATCTGTGTGCTTCTCCCTCTGCTCTCAGACGAGGCATCAGAATGGCGACACGCACTGCCTGACCCTGGAGGAGATTCTAGACGAGACCAAACTTCTCGACATCGGCATGAAACAAAAGCATTGGCTCATGACTGAGGTGTGCGTCCAGTCTCTCGAGTATTCACACGCCCAACGTTGAAAACGAGACCGCTTTAGGTGTTTATCCTCCCACAATTGACCTGGTTGCTTCAGCGCGATGCGGAAACGGATGAAAGCATCGTAACAAACCAAACGATCCCTATTCAAAGCAGGTGGAAGCTCCCCCACAGTGACTTGAACTAGTGACTTAAACGTGACCTCTCCTTCTTCCCCTTTCCCACTATGTCAGGCCCTGGTCAACAATCCCAAAATCGACGTGCGCGACGGGACGTACGGATTCAAGCCCAAGTACAACCTGAAGGACAAGAAGGCCTTACTGAGGCTGCTGGACAAGCACGACCAGCTGGGCCTGGGGGGGGTGCTGCTGGACGACGTGGAGGAGGGGCTGCCCAATTCAGCCAAGGCCATCAAGGTCAGTGGGCCCTGAAGCAGTGAGGACATATCGGTGAGGACATATCGGCAGAAATATGAGCTGTCGAGTGTTTGCAGGCTTTGGGCGATCAAATCATCTTTGTGACAAAACCAGATAAGAGGAAGATCCTCTTCTACAACGACAAGCATTGCCAGTTCAAGGTGGACGAAGGTGAGCATCATTTCTGTCTCCGTCTCTCTCTGTGTGTCTTTCTGTATGTATAACATTTGTCTGCTGGAGGTTTGGATGATTGATGGTTTAAATTGTTATTAAAAGATGAAACGTCAAACCAGCCTCTAACGTACAAAAGATTTCACTATATCATTGGGACATCAATATTTTGCCAATTCAATGTTTGTTCAAACTGCTGGTCAGATGTTTTTTTTTGGTTTGGTCGTTTGTATAAAAAATAATTCAATTTTTTTTTCTAAGCTTACTCTCATATTCATTTTTTTTGGATTTACAATTTGTCTTTTAATTGTAGAGTTCCAGAAACTATGGAGGAGTGTTCCAGTGGATTCCATTGACGAAGAGAAGATCGACGAGTACCTGAAGAAACAAGGCATCTCCTCCATGCAAGAAACCGGACCAAAGAAAGTGGTCAGTGTCCGCTGGTCCACCTGCTTGATTTCCTCTCAAACTCCACATCTACTTAACCTGCTTTAGTTCACTGTTAAAAATTGGTTTTCTGTGCTCCCTGTGCAGCTGCCGGTCCAGAAGCGGAAGAACAAAGGCGGGCAGAGGAAGAGGCACTTCAAGACCCACAACAACCATCTGGCCGGCGTCCTGGAGGACTATTCGGAAGGCGTTCCTGCAAAGAAGTGAGGCTCCTTTTCCCCCCCAGAGAAGAGGCGGAGCCCCCGACCATGCAACAGCTCGCAGGAGATTTTCATGGCCGTCTGTTTTCCTTTCTCTGCACTCTTTACAGAAAGTGTTGTGCAAACCTTTTTTATTTTGTTTATTGTGACAATTGGAGGAGAGGAGCACAGAAACCATTTAACCAAACCCACCATCCTTACAGAAGGCAAGCCGCCACAACTGCAACCCCAGGTTTCTTCATTTAATTCAGTTTAATGCAAGGATTTGTGTGGAAGCTTTTATTTTGACGGGCTGCAGTCATGTGGTGGAAGCCTCCCCTCGCTTTAATGGCCGCCGCAGCAGACGTGTGTCGCTCGGGTTGTGCAGCGCATCTCATCCAGCAGGAACCAGCCCACTTCTTGTGGACTTTCAATTCCTTTCACTTTGCAGCGTAGGTGTTATATTACAACTGTTTTTGAACTTATTTTAATAAATGACAGTGTTACAAGATACGTCTTTGCCTGATCAGCGTATATCAGTTTTACATTTCAATATGCAAATATAAGTGTTTATACAAAATATTCTCACTTAGTGTACTGTTGATACACTTGAAATACTAACTATAAATATGCAATATTCTAGCTGCACTCTTTACAAGCTTATGATGAAATGTAACAGTAACCACAATGGCCATAAACATGACGCCCAGCAACGTTTGAGTTTATTCAATGAATCACTCATAGAAAGAGGCGCATGAAGATGAAATGCTTTGTGGTTAAAGTAGAAAATATGTCTCAGAAAGATACAAGCTAGGTACATATTATATACATTTGCGCTTCATTTGATAATAACCTATTTAAACACGGGTTTACTCGCCATTTACAGAGTCAATTTGAAAAGCATTGGGTTCACTTCTAGCTGGCGTTGTGGCTGGCTTTGACAGTCTTCTTCAGATGGTGGTAGTTCGGCAAAATCTTCATCAAAAAGTCGAGCTGAAGAGTCTGGGGCTGCGAAGGCCACAACAAACATGAGTGGCGTTTCTCACAAACTCGAACATTAACTCTTATTTATAAATTGTAAATAGTAAAACCACATTCGATATGAAATACCGGGACGTAATTGTCTTTTCCTGATGATAAGGTTGAGTATGTTATGGGGGAAGAATAACAAATAGCTATTGTAAATAAGCTGTAATACTGTAACGTCGTCCAGAGTCTCACGGTTCTTCCTTACATGAGCAGAACGTGCAGTGTAAATACCTTAATACGCAATAAAAACATTCACTATGCATTTTACACATGGCTCTATCGTAAGAACCAAGGTTGAAATACTTTAAAATATGTATTCATGTTTGAGATCTCAGACAAAGTGCTTTACGGGCTAGTACCACTGGATCTGTGATCCAATAAACACTTCAGTGGGGCCCATTCAGAACCGGCAACTGCTCAGCCAAACTACTTCATGCTCGGCGCTGCACTTCCTCTGGTCCTGGAGGAGACACTCGCCGAGTGTGCAGTCGATCGGATGAACTGCGGTGGTCCTTCAATCATTTAGAGAGGGATGTACAATGACACACTACCATCCTCTAGGTCAACTGATTTGTTTGTTTAACTTAGCAGGACAGGTGCGCTATTTACATCTACTACAAACCCCACCTCAGGCGCCTCCGCTTACCAAAGAGATAAATCATCACCTCTCGACAGTCTCAGCAAAAGAAAACACATATTTTAACACTCAATGGTCTCCGGTACCTGCGGCCTCTCCGTCTGCACCCGTCTCATACATCCAGAGCCGTAGATGACCGTGTTCTCCGGTATGACCTCACACGTGTTGACCTGGCAAAAGGCTCCGATGATACAGCCACTTGTGAGGATCACATTCCTACCAACGTCGGCTAGACGACAAAAAGAGGGCACATTCTAAAGGTGAGTCGATTGATTTTACTAGAGCACAAAAGAAACACACACACTAGAAGAAAACAAGCACTCAAACATCCTACCTTTGGATTCAATCACATTGTTGTCGCCGATTTTCAGAGCTTGTGATACTGTAATTTGTCAGTTAAGGAATTCTTTAAATACATAAGTAATGGTTAGAATATGAAATGATTTGACTTGTGGAATAACCCTGGTCAGGCACGACAAAGGATACCACAGCCGACTTCAAACACGTTGTTCATCCCGATGGTCATCGTCTTTGGTTCCACCTCGGACTCTGGTGTGATGTTTTCTGGGTAACTGAGGCAGAACAAACAGGTTTGTTATTATCATGATGCGGGAGTGACAGGGGATGACAAAGACGACCCACGCTGTAACTGTTTTAGCCTTATTGTCATCGTGAATTACCCGTTAATGATCAGAGCTTGTTCCTCGATCAGATTGCCTTCTCCAATCACGATGGGTCCTGCCTCTGCGATGATGCGGGCCTTTGGGTGGACTACAGTCCTTGGGCCTGAAGAAACACAACCATTAACACAAATAAGATAATCATTACTTAGATTAAGTAACCGTAATGTTTAAACCCGCTGAATTAGTTTGGTTTCATCCATTTCCCGACTAGAATTGTAAGGTTTGTCAAGTCATCCCCGGTGACTTCGAAGTGACCCAATGAAACGTCTTACCTATCGTGACATCGCCTCTAATCTCGCTTTCAACACAAACTACGGCTCCCGCTGCTATTTTGACACTGTAAAAAAGAAAAAAAGGTAAAACAGTGACCGAGGATATGAGAGGAAACTACGTTAACTAACGTTAGTTGAGGGTGGATTGGTTAGCTAACACTGATAGCTAGCCAATTTGCTAACTGTCCAAACAAGGTAACGTTACGTAGTTAACGTTCTTCATTGTGGCTATTCAGTCACTTTATGTGTTGGCCTTTGGCTTTACGCTTTACCGTTATAAGTCATCAGTAGGCTAACGTTGTTTTACCTTTTCTGAGGATTTGGTTTATCAGCCATGGTGACGGATGAGTGGAGGCACGATGGATTCACTCGGTTATCGATTTAGCGTCCTAGCTGTCACAACGCTATGCGCATGCGTCAGTTCACTCACTAACTAGATTGCTCCACATAATGATATCTGGTTAATATGATGATCTCACTTGACGAAACATCAATAGAATGTACACAATGATCCGGACATGTTAAAACGCAGATGGGAACTAGTTAAGTACGGTGGCCCTGAAGTGCAAAACACAACAGAAAATAGGAAAACACAACGACAAATAGAAAAACACAACAGCAAATAGGAAAACACAACGACAAATAGAAAAACACAACGACAAATAGGAAAACACAACGACAAATAGGAAAACACAACAGCAAATAGGAAAACACAACAGCAAATAGGAAAACACAACGACAAATAGAAAAACACAACGACAAATAGAAAAACACAACAGCAAATAGGAAAACACAACGACAAATAGAAAAACACAACGACAAATAGGAAAACACAACAGCAAATAGGAAAACACAACGACATTAACTTCTTACAGAAAGGGTAGGGCCTTATAGAAGGAAGCAGAGGACGGACCCTCTGTCTTTTAACAGATGGACTGTCTGTCTTTTAACCCTCTTTATCCGAAGCCTTTCGCTGCGATGGAAAGTGACATGGAGGATTCAAATTACCGTGACTCCTTACTATTTGCACAATCGGATTTTGAAATCTGAGAAATGCCGCTTTCTAGATATTATGTCAATCAATAAATCAGTGGTGGGACTGAGAGCCTGTGATGAGGGTGGAAGTGACGCAGCAGAAAGTCACGGAGAGATGGCGATGTTTTACGAGTGTCTTAAAAGTGTCCTACTAGTGTTTCACCATTGTTTTACTTTTCAATTATATTTAGGTCTGGTAAATAAAAGTAAATAAAAGTTATTTTGTTATTTTGTTTAAAAAAATAAAAGTGTGGCTGCCACATACTGGATCATCTAGTGCAGCTGATTTAAATATTGGATTTAAACAGTTCATTTCCTTAACCTTTCTGGACATACAACTGGATCACATTAACTTAATAAATCATCCACTTACACCCGGCAGAATTAACTGAGGCCCGATTTATCACAGCAACACAGTGTGTATTATTAAACCGCTTTTACTACATCATAAACCACACACACTTGGTCGTGTGCACTCGTCTACGGGTTGCTGGTGGTGGGATTGGGCCCGTAGAGCCACAGGTGACCCGCCGTTAGCGTTTGCGATGTACTTTGACCCTCGTCGCTCGCACTACAATGTCAAAACACGGAAGGCTCGGACGATGCATCTGTTATGGCAAAGGGGAGCCCGAGGAAGAGCTCAGAAGACACATCTTCAGGCTTGAACCAGGCGACCCAGAAAGAGATGACACAGCCAGGGACACGCGCCTCCCCCCTCGCCGCCCTGGCTTTGGTCGTGGCCGTCTGCGTGGTGCCGCTGACGGCGCAGATATCCGCCTGTAAGTAACTTACGTTCTATATAGAGAAGTAAAGCAGCGTAGTGCCTTGTAGCTAGGTTAGCTATAGCTAGCTAGTTCATTAACCCAACCTGTTTAACCTAAGTCAATGCCCAGCACACTGTTACATTACTTTAACACAAAGTTAGCCAACTATGCGCTTAAATGACCTCGGTGCCAAGTGAAGCTTTGCCACGATAGATAAGTATATTTATTCATAAAGCCGGTTAGCTCGCAGCTAACTGCAGCGTCGGCCCTAAAGTGAGCAGTCGTCCGTCCAGGAATGAGCTCCAGGCGTTTGAACTTTCCTTCCTGGGGGTAGTTCGTGGATTACTGCAGCATGTGACCACCGGGGCTTGTGCAGCCAGAACTTCAGCCCTCTCACATGCTCTCCTGTTCCCGGGCGGCGACGTTAGCTGACCGGCTGTAGCTCGCGGTTGAGACGTTTATTTTCCTCCGTGCATCTGACGTGACCTCCCCAGCTAACACCAGCTAACACAGCGCCCTGCGAAGCCACGGGCTTCTCGTCCATAAGGAGTGAACCGCCGGGCCGAGGTCAGACTCTGGCTCCACGACATGTAGGTCAACATGGAGTCCTGAGGATTGTTTTACGCATGTGCCCTTGGTTCTAAGCAAACGTGCTGCGATCGGACTCGGTTCGTAAGGTCAATGATCAGAAGGACGGTGGCTTGGTGTGGCTGGCTACACTCGATGCTGTAGGATCTGCTCTGTGTGTGTGTGTGTGTGTGTGTGTGTGTGTGTGTGTGTGTGTGTGTCTGGAGAGAAGATGTACCTCATGCTGCTATTTCTCTCCCCAGCTGGCCTCTCTCATCACAAGCACATAACCCTGAAGATGGATGAGGCCATTCTGACCGTCAACAAATGAGCTGGACACGGAGGTGGTGGTGTCCTGGGTGTCAGAGCGATGCTACCAGGTAGAAGCACACACACACAAATATTTCCCTGAGGTTTATTCTGTAGCTACACGACTTGGGTCAGATGAGGAAGGTGTTCTGATTGTGTTCCTGTGTGCCAGTGTTTGTATCAGCAGCTGGGGGTGCTACCTGCAGGGCCCGGTCCTGGCCGGCCCAGTTCTGCCAGCTTCGTTGTGAGCACACGCCATGAAATGACACTACAGATGAACAGCACCACGGAGAGCTGCACGTGAGTCCAAGAACACGGGCACACTTAAAAGGAAAAAGTCTATTTATAGCGGCATTAATATTGGACCAATGACAGAACAGTTTGCTAATGGGTGGTGTTTGTTTACTATATCTAGTCCGCTATTGAATGTTGCAGTGAACACAGACCGAACAAAGGGGCAACTGCAACATTGTATCATAATCATTCTGAATCAGGACAAACAAAAAAACTACATAAATAACACTGCAAAAAAGTTTCAATAAACTCATCAGGAGCACACACACACACAGGCAGATTGCATCATATTCCATTTACAATTAACTATAGATGGCGGCTAAATTATTTAAAAATGAAACGTTAGCGAGCAAGAAACGTGAGTATTAACCCTCCGTTTCTATCGCATCGGATTCCTCCGTCTCTCTCTGTCCCTCTCCTCTCTCGGGACGGATGTCTTCAGATGTCCACCTGACCGTTTCCTGATTTCAGCCAAGCCAAAAGTTATGTTAGCAGCAGAAACTAGGCTAATGTTAGCTAAACGTTAGCTAATGTAAAAGGATAAGCTGAAGTGTATTTAATTTAAAATTGTAATCTTACAAAAGGTAGTTTTACAAGTCATGTCTCTATTTTTTGTAAAAACCATCTTGATTTGAAAAAAATATATATTTAATATGAATTATTACTCCATTTGACCACCATTACGTTTCCTCTTGTGCACCCCAAGGGGTGCCCGCACCACACTTTGGGAATCCCTGATCTAGTCTTTTTTTGCATTTTATTATTATTTAGTCTGATTAAATATAAGGACTGTAGAATGAGTAATGGCATAATATATATATATATATATATATATATATATATATCTGTCCCTATATATATATATATATATATATATATCTGTCCCTATAATATATATATATATAATATATATATATATATATATAATATATATATATATTATATATATATAATATATATATATATTAATATATATATATAATATATATATAATATAATATATATATATATATATATATATATATATTATATATATATATATATATTATATATATATATATATATATATATATAGTCAGTTTGGTTGGTGTGCTGCCTGATGTTATGGATCATTTTCCATTTCAGGATTCCATTTCACTTCGGGGAGCAGGGGAACTACTCTCTGTGGGTGAAAAACCTCAACAACTCCTCAGTGGTCAAGTGCTCTGTAGTGACTGACGCGGAACCTGTCAACAGCTACATACGTGCGTATGACATGCACACACCTGTGTTGTGATGCTTTATTCATCCCCGTGGCCCCTTTTGGATAACAATTATTTCCTTCTTTCTTTCCCCCGCCCCAAACAGCGATCTTGGTAGCTTTCCTTGTCTTGGCTGGGCTGGCCCTGTCCTCCGCCATCGGAACCAAAATATTTGGGTAAAACGATAGATCTCTCTCTCACTCTCTGAGGCCACCGCCGAGCACAGATGTTTATGATGTATTTGCGCTGTGGTTCTGTGTGTGTTCTAGACTTGCTCCTAAAACGGGTTGATTCTCTTCCTCTCCAGGCTCGACGTCGTGAAGCGTTTCCTGTACCGAATGAGCGGCTCCATGGAGACAGAGAGGCTCATCAACTCTGTGAGTGTGTGGAGAGGATATTTCTTCCAAGTGCAAACTCATAGAACCGGATTTTGCTTGCCAAATCTTTTATTTATTTATTTGGGCTGGCACTTTAATGCTGCATTAAAAAGCTCTTGTTTCCTCATGTATCGCTCTGCTCTCATGGGCTCTTCACACTATATCAACAGTTACTCTTTGAAAATAAAACACTATTGAATCTAGTGTCTAAAAAAAGGACCTCACACTGATGAAATCATCATGGGAATCTGATTAACCACGATCCAATGTGTAACTTTCATCCCCCAGGAGCTGGGCTCCCCTGGCAGGACGGTGTCACTCGTTGCGGACAACATCCTCCCTCCAGCTCCCAGCCCCAGCAAGAGGCTGCGCTCTCTGGACACATTCAGAGGGTGAGCCCGTCTCCCCTGCTGCTCCGCTTCCCCAGAGACCGCAAACCGCACGGCCACTCGCCTTGATCTGTTCGTGATGTTCCTTTGAGGAGACCATGTGACTCATTGATGAGCCCTTCCTGATCGTATTAACATGGACGCAGTTTCGATGTTGTAGTTGTCCTCCCAGAGTGAACCACGTGGCTGCACTTCTGGCACATTTGAACAGTGATGATCTGTTGGAACACGTATGTGTATATTGATCTATGTTTACGCTATAACCTCAATGCCTTTTCTCTCTTTGCTGTTAGTTTGTCCTTGGTCATCATGGTGTTTGTGAACTATGGAGGGGGGCGATACTGGTTCTTTAGACACGAGAGCTGGAATGGTGAGACCCAGCTGGTTCTGCCTTTATGTCTATTTATATTTCTCATAGAATCACATATTCTAATTACGTTGGTAAGAAAACTTTGCATCGGAGAGGATAATAAAGCCGATGTTGTCTTCTCCCAGGCCTGACTGTTGCAGATCTCGTCTTCCCTTGGTAAGCTTCAGTGCGATTTATTATGTTTCGTTTCCTCGCCGTATCCTCGTGACCTCACGCGAAGCGGCCCTGTCCTCCGCCAGGTTTGTGTTCATAATGGGGACGTCCATCGCGCTGTCCATCAACTCCCTGCTCCGCGCGGGCTCCTCCCGCCGCTCGCTGCTGGGGAAAGTGGCGTGGAGGAGCATGCAGCTCTTCGTCATCGGCGTCTTCGTCGTCAACCCAAACTACTGCCAGGGGCCGCGTGAGTCCAAGAGCGCCGCCCCGCTGAGGGTCCTACGGCAAAACCATCCACACGATTGATCACGCCACGTGGTTTGATAACATTTTTTCTTTTTCTTTCTCGTCGGTTGCTGCCTCCTTCGTCCCCCCAGTATCTTGGGACAACCTGAGGATCCCCGGTGTGCTGCAGCGACTGGCCTGGTCTTACTTGGCTGTGGCCTGCCTGGATCTGTTGGTGGCAAGAGGCCATCTTGACATCCTTACAGCGGTCAGTCAGCGCTGGGGCTCTGCTCTCTTGTGGTACCTGCGGTGTATTTAAACCGGTGTTCGACTGAGGGGGTCTCTCTGGTCCCCAGGAGGCTTGGTGGTCCCCTGGCGTTGACATCTTGCTGTATTGGCCGGCCTGGCTGTGTGTGCTTCTCCTAGAAGCCGTCTGGCTGTGCCTCACTTTCCTACTTCCTGTTCCAGGTTGCCCAACGTGAGTAGAACACGGCAGGTTTGCGTCTGTATAAAAGGTGATATACTAAACGGTTGAAAAGACGATCCCTTAAAAGGAATAGTTAGTTAGTTTTGAGTCTGTGTCCAAACTAAACTGAATCCCATGTTTGGTCACACTGCTGAGCCACAGTGGCTGCAGAGCTTCAGCCAAATGGTAAATAAAATAAAAGAATGAATAGGAAATGTTGGTAAGCTACTAAGCTGTTAAATGACTGTCTCTAAACGTAATCGACAATTCAAAGAAATTTGGATTGTCTAGAATGTCTTTTTCTTAAATGTAATTGTTCCACCAAGACATCATTTCAATGACCTGAGCGTGTTTGACGTGTTTTTACAACTGAACGCTAAATCAATTTCCTTCGTATACAGAGACACAAAATGGATTTTGGTTTTTGAAACAAAGTAATGTAATAAAAATGAGAAAGCAGTCGTCCCACATTGATGACACTGGCTCCCTCTGGCTGTGAACAGAGGCTATCTGGGTCCAGGGGGGATCGGCGACATGGGCCTGTACGCCAACTGCACCGGGGGGGCAGCCGCTCTCATCGACCGATGGCTGCTCGGAGAGAGCCACGTCTACCAGACGCCTTCGTCGCGGGTTAGTAATCAACTGGATAACGCGCAAACATACCGAGGGTAGAGATCCAGGCGTGTACTTTATACTGGTGATCGCTTGCGTGTATTTAACATTTAATTTCCCGTTTAAAAAGGTGATTTATGCGACTCGTGTGCCCTACGATCCAGAAGGCGTTCTTGGCAGCATCAACTCCATCCTCATGGCTTTTCTTGGACTGCAGGTATTTCCTCTCCATTTTTTTGGTCTCAAAATCCAGAACAAGGTATAAAGGTAATTGCCTTTCTTTTTCTTTTTGTCCCCAGGCAGGAAAAATAATCTTACACTACAGAGATTTCCACAAAAGTATAATGTCAAGATTTCTCACATGGGGTCTCCTACTGGTAAGCACATGGTCTTAACACGCCTTCTGCTTCTACAGTAAACCCTTTCTAATGATATGAAGTCATTTATTTTTTTTCTGAGGGATTTTTGCTCTCCTGTGTGACTGATGATGTCTAATGTGACACACAGGGAGTCATATCAACCATTCTGACCAAATGCTCCACAGACCGCGGCTTGATTCCCGTCAACAAAAACCTCTGGTAAGGTTCACCGTCGAGCCCTTTCGGACGGGAGGTTTGAACATTCGGCCAATTCCATTTTGTGGATTGTGTCGTCTGACTTGTTTGTTTCTTCATGATATTGATGATCTTCTTGATGAACAGTTTTGGGGCGATATCTTAGACACGTTCCCTTTTGAACTGCAGGTCTCTGTCCTATGTGACCACGCTGGCCTGCTTCGCCTACGTGCTGCTGGTGCTGGTCTACTACGCGGTGGACGTGAAGGGCTGGTGGTCCGGAGCCCCCTTCTACTACCCTGGTGAGCCGAGTGTAGACTGGCACCCACCCGGCCTTTTTTTGTCTTATTACTTTCAACCAATTCCATCAAGCATTTGTGGAGATTTAGTTCAAGTATTACTACTTGTAGGATTATTAATTCTTCGTCTGTAGGTAAACGCGCCTCGTCTTTAAATCCACTCTTTGCCCCCCCCCCCAGGTATGAACTCCATCCTCGTGTACGTGGGCCACGAAGTGTTCAAGGACTACTTCCCCTTCCGGTGGCGGATGGCCAACAGCCAATCACACGGCGAGCACCTGGCCCAGAACCTCGTGGCCACATCCTGTTGGATCCTCATCTCCTACGTGCTCTACAGGAAGAAGATCTTCTGGAAGATTTAAGAAGAAAAGTGGTGGAACCAGGGGGGGGGCAAGTGAGAAATGTTCACGACCGGAATGGACTTAATATCTGAAACATTTGGAAAGCGGGAAACTGGACATTGATTCATTTTTGTCAAATCTACGGTGGTTCTGCCACTGAAAGTATGGAGGTTACTTCTGTCACACAGCACTTCTTTTCATTTATTGAATTTTTTTTTTTTTCTTTTTCTTTCAAAGATCTTCAGATACGAAACGTCTCGACTCACTCGGGAAGAACGCAAATAGGGATTTGAGAACACTGACATTGTTAATCAACCATTTAATTGTGTTATAGTAGCTCAGCAGAAGCAGCAGGCCGTCCCGTGCTGGTTCGTTGACTTCCCTTTTAGGAGAATCCCAGCTGTCGTCTTAAGTGCTGTCACTTTACTCTAAAAAGCGCAAGTGTTTTTTTTATTATAATTTTGTTGTTGTTTTGAAAGTGACCTGAAATGAGTCGCCCCCGAGAGAAAAGGCCACCAGTAAGTCATTGGGATGTCTCGTTATTTCCACTGCACTGCGGGAGATGGGGGTGATATTTAAACAAGAGGAAACCAGATGGAAAGGTTTTAAAATATGAAAGGTCTAGCTGTCCGCTGCAATATATCATCATTCATATATATTCATATCATATGCCTCATTTCTCATCTTTTCAGGTGTGTATAATATATATATATATATATATATATATATTTTTTTTGCTATTTCCTGCTACCAGTGCTGTGACATGATGCTGCGTGTTACCCAGTAATGAGGGAAGTGAAGGGGGCGATGTGAGATGACTGCAGGGTGCATGCTTTGCATTTGTGGGGAGGTCTGCAGAAGGATGCATGTGTATGGGTTTTTCCTTTCTGATCAGGTTGTTTTTTTTTTTTCTCACTGTGTTGGCTCTTTTTGAGTTGCCATTTCTTGAATGTTTTGTGAGTTAATAGAAATACTGTACAGCCACATACAGAAGTTGAATTGTTGGATTTAAAGACGTGATCATGCTATTACTCTCACAATATTGCACACATGTACGTTTGGCAGTTATTACTTTTCTCAATGCATTCTGCAAAATCCTATGGTCAGTCTGGGAAATATCCAAATGCTGTCTGTGATTTTGGAATAATCTTTCATCTAAATTGATGAAATTAATTTAGCCAAACTTTTATACATTGTTTGTTTTATACTACGCCATTTGAGAATCAGTTTATGTAATAAAATGTAAATACATCCAAGACGTTATTCCCGTTTCCCTGTTTAATGTTGTTCTAATTAGTTTTCTCTGCAGCGAACAATGATTTCCAGTCACATGAGGTCATGTGAACAACACATACGTGCAGTTAGCATGACACCGTTTATCTCCATGTGGTGTTTCCAGCTCTCCGGCGTGGGGCAGGTGTAGTTTCTTCATCGCTCAATGAGCCGTGGGAATCGGGTTTCAGCGCGGGGGGGGGGGGCAAAAGCGGGCTGTGAGCGCGCCTCCTGGTCTCGCGAGACAATCGGACTTTCTCCATTCGTGTCTATTGGGAAAGTTTTTACGCCCTCGCGCGAGTTTGTAACTTTCCCACGCCTGTTGTTTTGGCGTCTGCCCGTCGCCCCTCCCTCCCTCCCTCCCTCTTCTCACCCCTTTGCCCCGTCACACCTCCCCCTTCGGTCCCCCCCGCTCTTCCTTCCAGTTTGCTTCTGTTGTGCCGCTGGTTGGGGGTCTTCGGGGCGGGGGGGGGGGATCTCGCGATTGTTGGACTTTTTTTTTCTTTTTTCCTGGGGGGTGGTGAGGGGAGGGGGGGCAGTTATTTGGAAGATGGCGCCCGTTGTTACGGGGTAAGTGCTGAAAATTCCCGGCGTAAACACATCCGAAGTGCTCTCCGCCGCGCCGGTCCGCGGCGCCTTTCCTGGCGGCGTTTCACGGCGTTCGGAGGCCGCCGCGGACGCGCACGTTTGCGGGGTCGACGCGGCGGGTCCGACCCAGCGCCCGCTTTCTCTGCCACTTGTTGAGTTGTCGCACGACGCGGAACCTCGGAAACTTTGTCGGCCTCCGGCACTCGGCCCGCCCCCCCCCCGCCTCGAGTAGCGCGTTTGCCGCGTGTTTCTCGCTGGCTGTGCGCCCGTCCGGAGCGATGAGCTCCCCGCGGACTAACGCGCGGCTCCGCTCGGTGCCACATTGCCACCGTGCACCGGGACCCCCGCGGGCACGTCATCTCGCCCCGGCGGGGTCCAGCGTCCTCCTCCGCGCACATCTGCACGGTTCATGTGACCCTTTAAAAAAAAAAAAAAAAGTAGTTCGTGGAGTTACCCCTTTTGGGGGAGTGGGAGCCCCTCTAGGCGACCCTCAGGGGTCACTCACCTGCTGCTCGCCCCACTTTCTGTCAAGCTTTGTTGTTGTTGTCTCCGCCACATGTAAACAACCCTGATGGATTTTCTTTTCTTCTGTTTGTGCAGGAAGTTTGGTGAGCGACCTCAGCGTTTGACGAGAGAAAAGAGGAGACACCGGGGGAAGACCCCCCCCCCCCCCCCCCCCCCTCAACACATTGAAAGTGCAAACCGCTCTTGTGAACATGTTGTGAACATGTTGTGTATAGCGTGTGTTCTTTTCCCCTCATTTCAGGGAGGCTATGAGGAATTACTTGAAGGACAAAGACGACCAAACGGTGCTCATACTGCACGCAAAAGTTGCACAGAAGTCGTACGGCAATGAGAAGAGGTCCGTGTGGGACGATCCCAAGTGCACCGTTTGTTTGTGTGTTGTTTTGGGTTTTTTTTAATGCCCGCTTGTGTTGATTCAGGTTTTTCTGCCCTCCACCCTGCGTGTACCTGATGGGCAGCGGCTGGAAGAAGAAGCTGGAGAGCATGGAGAAGGACGGCTGTACGGAGCAGGAGGCCCAGCCGTGTGCCTTCATCGGGATCGGCAACAGCGAGCAGGAGATGCAGCAACTCCACCTGGAGGGGAAGGTGGGTCGGCTTCGGTGACGGCGCCGTGCTCTCCGGTTTGAAAAAAGAAAGAAGCGGAAATGCCTAAGCAGAATTTGTATTTATTTTCAGCACTTCTGCACGGCCAAGACGCTGTACATCAGCGACTCGGACAAGAGGAAGCACTTCATGCTGTCGGTGAAGATGCTGTACGGTAACAGCGCCAACATCGGCTTCTTCCTCAGCAAGAGGATCAAGGTCATCTCCAAGCCCTCCAAGAAGAAGCAGTCCCTGAAGAATGCCGACTGTGAGTAGAGCCCCCCCCCCCCCAAAAAAGGGAGACGCGGGTTCACCACACAGCTGACACTGGTCTCTCCTGTTTGTCTCCCTCTCGTCCCCTCAGTGTGCATAGCGTCGGGCACTAAGGTGGCGCTGTTCAACCGCCTGCGTTCCCAGACGGTCAGCACCAGGTATCTCCACGTGGAGGGGGGGAACTTTCTCGCCAGCTCCCAACAGTGGGGGGCTTTCTACATTCACCTGTGTAGGTCTCCAGCTGCGTTTGGTTCTATTATTATTATTACTCCTAATGTCTCTGCACCGATCTGAGAGACGGGGAAGCTGCAGACGCGTAAATCCGCCGCCTGTCGTTTTGTCTTCAGTGGACGACGAGGAGTCCGAAGGGGAGGAGTTCGCCGTGAGAGACGGATACATCCACTACGGCCAGACGGTCAAGTTGGTCTGCTCCGTCACCGGCATGGCGCTGCCCCGGCTGGTACGCACGCACGCACGCTGTGCTTTTTAAGTGCACGCTGTGGGGTTGTTTGCGTTCCGCACGCGTGTACGTTACTTGTTTCTCGTCCCCTCAGGTCATTCGCAAAGTGGACAAGCAGACGGCGTCGATGGACGCAGATGACCCCGTGTCCCAGCTCCACAAGTGTGCCTTCTACCTGAAAGACACAGACAGAATGTACCTCTGTCTCTCGCAGGAGAGGATCATCCAGTTCCAGGTGTGCAATCGATTAATCTCACACACACACACACACACTTGAAGTAGGTTGAAGTATTCTGGTTTATTTTGGAGCAGTTTGAATTCTGCTTCCTGAATCAGTTCCATGTTTACCAATTTTGCATTAACAAAAACAGCATATGGTTTAGATTAAGAGTATATAAATTTACTTAGAAACATGCACCGGTTGGTGGTCAGCTGCTGCATGTTAATGGATGGATGCTCTCGAGGTATCGAGTTTGTCTTTCTGTTGCCGGCAGCACTGAATCCAACACGCATCAAACTCGAGGGCTGTTGTCGTGGAGACGAAGCCTTCCAGCGGCACGAATCAGTGCTGCAGTAAATTCAAAGCGCTTTGCCAAAATGTACCTTCAAATGTAATTTGGTTTTAGCTGCTGCTTGTTGTTGCTTAAAAAGAGCTCAATAACAGCGGTTTATGAAATGAATTTTTTGACTCAAGGTTTGTTGGATTTTTGTCAGAAGGCCCCTCAGGATTTGTAGTTCCTTTTAGTTTACACACACGCTCGTACCTGCAGTTTGATCTTTTGTACTGACATTCGACCGGGAGAGTTGGGACCGATCCAAACCAGAACCAGTGCTCTGTTCTCGAGTCACCTAACATTGTAAATGAAGATGTCATCCACTCGCGGATGGAAGAGCTCCTCCCACTTTTTAATTCTTATTGAACACATTCTGTGACATGTCGAAAATCAGACTAACTATTTAAAAATGTAGCTTAGTAATTGGTACTTTTTGTAGTTTACCGTTTTGAAGTTTGGTTCAAGTTGGTAATCATCACAGGTTCTTTGCATGACACGAGAGCGTGAAGCAAAATACAACCAAATGCTTAATTCGTCATGTGACATATTAAACTCTTATAAACTGAGACAAGATTCAGTTTGTAAATCACACCCAACTTCCGGAACGCAAATGAACATGGCAGAGACCTGCCAATCACAAGCACCGCCTCTCGTCTGAGCGTTTGGATAAGCTCCGCCTCTCGTGGTCCAGGTGGTTTGTGACTTTTCCTCCCTTACTGTTGTTTGTCTCCAGGCCACACAGTGCTCCAAAGAGGCTAACAAGGAGATGGTCAACGACGGGGCGTCCTGGACCATCATCAGCACTGACAAGGCCGAGTACACCTTCTATGAGGGGATGGGCCCCGTCCCCACGCCGGTCACACCGGTCCCTGTGGTGGAAAGTCTGCAGGTACCCAACGGCAAATATGCCCGTTAGGCGTCTTTTACATGGTTACCGACTACTTCCTGTTTTTAGTTTTTCCTCAACTAGTCGGGACATTTTTTTCTTTGTGTGTCCGAAGCTAAACGGTGGAGGAGACGTGGCGATGTTGGAGCTGACCGGGCAGAACTTCACCCCGAAGCTGAGGGTGTGGTTCGGAGACGTGGAGGCCGACACCATGTACAGGTGAGCATCTACATCTGTGTGTGTGTGTGTAACCAAGCGTCAAACCCCGTCCTCATCCGTCCGTCCCCCCCCTCAGATGCGGCGAGAGCGTCCTGTGCGTGGTGCCGGACATCTCGGCCTTCAGGGAGGGCTGGCGCTGGGTGAGGCAGCCGGTCCAGGTCCCCGTGACGCTAGTGCGCAACGACGGAGTTATCTACGCCACCGCCCTCACCTTCACCTACACCCCCGAGCCGGGGCCGCGGCCCCACTGCAGCGCTACGGGAGCCATCCTGCGGACGCGCAGCGCCTCCTCGTCCTCGCCGGCGTCCTCGTCCTCCCCGTCGTCCTCGCTGGGCGGGCTCGGGGACGGCCACGGGGCGTACAGCGGCAGCGACTCGGGCGTGTCGTCGGGGGCCTCGACCATGTCGCTGCTGTCCTAGTGACTCGAGAGCCAAAGGGGCTCGTGGACCCGAGAGGGACGGAGGCGGAGCCGGACGCTCTCCGTCGGGATCCGGGGAGGAGAGGAAACTTGGGAGCAGCTGAAGACTCTTTGGCTCCCTCGCCTGGTTTGTTTTGGACTTGTCACCAGGGTGCACTCGGGGGACCGTGATCGTCGATGTTCACTAATCTGCCGTCTAACTGATGTGAACAAGAGGCATCTTGTTTTTGTTTGTTATCTGTGAGATCATGTTCTGTCGTGTGCAAGGGAAATGTTATAAGAGTAACATAGTTTTTACGGACCAAGGAATATCTTTATTTTTTATTTTATTCATATTATATTTTATAAGCTTGTGCCGAGGTACATATTGAATATTTTTCCTTCTTCTTTTCGGTATGACACTGCATAGTGAGTTCACTTTTGTTACCAAATAGAATTTGTGTTAGTTTCAATCTTCTAGGTCAGCGGGTTAAACCGATGAAACCCACAGAAAAACGTAACGCCCACCTTTTATATCAAAGATTACATTGTGTGTGTTCTGGGAGACCAAGGCCGATGTTTTCTAATCACTGTGCCGTTTTTGTACCTGAGTGCTTAAACTCAAGTCTAATCGGTGCCTCTTACCACAGCGGTGAAGCTTAGAAGAAGAAAAAACTGACAGCACTAAGTTTGTGTAAATCGTGGGCGAGATTTCCTTTTGTGCACATGGCGCAGCCATCATGGAGGGCACTTAAAGGGACGGTTCACCCCAAATTCAGCAGCACCTAATGTTCATCTTCCCTGTAGCGCTATTATCGATGGAGGGACAAATAAATGCATTTTAGTCATAACTCTCATGTCGTGAGCAGTATTGTGAGGGAACTACGGCCCGAAGACAAGCGTCCCCACATGAATCTAATGGGACGGACGAGTTCTGCTGTTTATTGTGCCTTATAGTCCCATTACGATAGAGGGGGGAAGGCTTTTCACGTCAAATACGCACTCCGAGTGCAATAGAACGCATGTAAAACGGCGGTTGTGCCTTACGGGACGAGGAGGGGATTCCGTTTGAACTCGGCGTTCCTAAAGTGGCCGGCGATGAACTGAACGCCGACCGCCGACCTCACCGCGCCTCCTCGGACCGGCTGTTTCTTGGAGAATTGTTGTGCGTCATTAATAGATATCCGTGTCTTCACTCTCACATTCTTCCCCCCCATCCCATCCCATGATGAAATCGCATATTTCCATACTGCTGTATTAAGTATGTATAAAGCGATCCTACTTTGGAATGTGTTGAATAAAAACAAGCTGAAGCTAAACATCACTCTGAAGCATTTGGTTGCATTCTGTCAGGACTTTTCTGTGTAATCACGCTCTGTATATACACACATATTTATACATGTTTATAATACGGGTAGATGAAATCCAGCGTTCTGATTGGTTGATAGTGAGTCACGGGGGGGACATTATTGAGTGATGGTGTACAGTTGCTGTTCACATTGACCCGAGCGTTCCGTGTCGCTGCACACTCACAGTAACAGGTTAGATTTTGCACGACCATTAGCTGCATTTGAGCTTTTAGCTCGGTGGCGATCTCTACACTGCTGAAATGCGATACACAACGTTTTGTGGCTACAATTTTGTGCAAAAAGGCAGCTATTTACTTACTATTTATAATTTCGGTATATATATATATTGTGATGTCACGAGAGGCTGGGTCTTGGAAGGGAGATACGTTCACCGGCGATGGCTGTAACTACTATGGCTCCATCTGCTGGTGCCCCGAAGCTCGGAGCATTCCCCTCACACCTGAGAGCCATCAGGGTGTGACGACCGGGAGGCCTTCTTAAAGGTGGAAGACACACCGTTGAGGGGGGAGACGAGCTGAGAAGAGCAGACCAAGACATAAGGATTCTCGGAGGCAGGAGAGACCGGGAGGACGGTGTTTTCTCCTTAAAGAAGTGGATTTCCGTTTAGTTAAGTTTTACCGGCGAAGGTTGACCGAAGCCTGAGTTACCCCCTGTTTTGACTGTTTTCTGTTGAACCTGAAGGACAGAAATTAAAACCTTTGTTTACATTTTTGAACCCGGTGTCCTCGCACTATTTGAACTACCCCGGAGAGAGCGGCGGCGCCTCTCGTGACATCACATAATATATATATATATATATATATATATATATATATATTACACTCTGTCAGACCCCGAAGAGGCCCCCGAAGAGGCCTTATTGGACGTGTGCCACTTGGGCATGCTCCACAGGCTAGAGGTCAAAGCTGGCCCACTATTTTTAAACCAGGAGCCGAGTTGCTGGAAAGAAACCGGACACGTTGTCGCGGTTTAAGAGGAGTTATTACTGCGTGTTTGTGTGTGTGTGAAGTCCTGTGATCTCTTTGTGCCCCCCCCCCCCCCCCCCCCCTCTCGATACCAGAATCTCGACAGGTGCGCGATGGTTCACTTGGTCCATCTCCGTGGGTTGGAGATCTGCGAATGAGGTCTCGGACCCAGACGGCCGGGCCACATACGCGCTCTACCCGGTTATCCTGATCTTCACCTAGGAGGGCTTTGACCCGCCAGTAAAGCCATAAAACCAGACCGTTCATCTGGGAGTGACTTTTGGTTTTACGCGTCAACTCCGTGGATTGCAACACAGTTGCTCATCTCTGTCACAAATGACTAGAACTTAATATGGAGCTCGCTGGATCAACGCTGCAACTCCGTGCGTCTGGTTAGGGGGGTCTAGAGGTATAATTACGTGGTTGGGTCCCTGTTGCTAGAGAAAGGGTGAGAGGGGTGGGAGGCTGTGACATCTGCGTAACAACTCGTCACATCTCGACGTCTCTTCTTGGGAAAGAGTTGAGAGGAAGACAGAACGGGACAAGCGCCATTGTGCGGCTCGCCTAAACACTTCCAAAGGACGAGAGGCGCAGAGAAGCTGCTCCGTCAGCGGGACCAGAGGATTACTTTTTCTAAACAACAGCTGCACTAAGAAGAGTGTTTTCATGCGACCTTAAAGTCAGATTTTATGAATGATGGATGAGCCTCGGGAATCTTGTCACCCGAATGGATTTTATTAGGCTGTAAGTGTTTTTACCAGAATACCCTCGCCCCCCTTTGGAGTGCTTTTACGCACTCGCGTTTGGATGAGCCCGCACATTGTCACTGCAAACCTTGTGAAAAGCGTTGTAACTTTTGGGCCGTAGTCACGGATTTGGAGTCGTCCAGCCTCCCAGATTCCTCCAGCAGATCACAAAGCACGGTCGCGCAAAGATTCCCGCAGACCACCACCGGTGCCTCGTAACCGGGGTGTCGGCACCGCGCACCTTCTTTCTCCGTCTCTTTTGCAGTTTTTCTCGACTCAGAGCGACGGCAGTGTCCCCTATCTGACATGCCGTCCCTTTGCCCCCTTCTGCTCATTTTCCCCGCTGCGCTCTTCGTGGCCGCGCACGGCACCGGGGACCTCCAGGGTTTCGCCTTCTCCGGCGGGAGCGCAAGTTTCGATCCAACAGGTACAAACACAAGAATCAAGAAGGAAAACGCATTGCCGAAAGTCGTTTCAAAGCATTTACATCATATTCCAGTTTTCCCTTAATGTTAAAAGCCCAAATTTTCTCGCAAAAATGACAGCGGAAAAATGTGTCTTTATTTCCATGATATGATTAACTCTTTGGGCTTCGGGCTGTTTGGGCCCTTTCTTTAATATGATAAAAGTTAATGAGTCATCATCTGCATTTCATTGGGATATTTAACTCCTTGCCAAAAAATCATAGGGAACAACAACATTTTCTTTCTAATTTCATTGAAAATATACCTCTTCCAGTGAGTTTTATAACAGAAGTGTAACCTCGATTTGGCGGCTTTGTCCCAACAATTGTAGCTCACCTGCGGAAAGACTTAAACCATGTGGAGGTCCCACAGGGAGACACACACACACTCTTCAGAGGGCCTTTGCATACACCATTGATATTGAATAGCCAGCTTAAATGTTTCCTCACTGTTGAGAAATGCAACAGTTCCATCAACAAGCAGGGGATCAATGTTAGTACTGATCTGGCTGTTGGAATGAGATCACGAGGCATAGATAATTATTTTCAAATGTCTTTCTTTCAAGGAAATTGTTAAGAATTGCAACAATTTGTCACTGTGCCAAATAATTAGCTCGAAGAGAGCCACTCACATCGGTCAGGAAACCGTGACTTTGATCCCCTTCTGCTTTCTCCAACCATACCTGATACATAGACGTCTAGTGGTCCGTGTGACAGGGAAACTGCGCGATGTGAACTGGAGTACAGAAAAATAGGTTTAAACACAATTATACATGTGCAAATGTTCAGGTTCCTGTAGGATAAAATGGTTAGGGTTGGGTTGGAGAGGATAATGTGTTTTTTTAGCTAGTCTGGTTTGGTTTTTAGACTTCACTAAAGTTATGAGGCAAAACCCGGAACGCGTTGGACTGAATAATTCTGTATTATACACGCACACAAGTCTTTATCACAGCATCGTCTAGCCGTAGAATCATTGGTCCAGTGCTCGACATGTCATCAAAATTGCATCATTGTCAGAACTCTTCACTTTATTTGCCCTCATATATGCAGTCCCTAATTAGTTTAACACATAACTGTCAAGTTTGCTTTAGTGTGCAGGGTTAGGAAATAGTGACATTTTAGCTTTTCTAATCTATAGTGGTATGGTACCAATTAGCAATAGTAATTCACGTTGGAGGAGCGGCCATTGGGGACAAAAGCTTGCTCCATATAAACCTCCCCACTCCAAATGAGCTAATATGCTGTTTTCAACCAGTATAAATAATTTGAATTATTTGCACTAAATTATCACGGTTAGAATCTGAATCCATCAACAACATTGCTAAATACCCAAATCAAGTGCTCTTCAGCTGGAAAAAGTTGTTTGGGTGTTTAGACACTTTGAGTTTTGTTGACCGAGACAACCAGGAATCACATTGGAGGCCTTAACACTGATGTGTCTTTTTATATTCCTTTTATATTTGTTTTAGACACCCATTACGGCTCATTTTAATAAACACACAGTAGATATTTAATGGCTCTTACTTAGTTTGTATTTTGAGGAGCAGCCATGATAATGGACTAGCACAGATTGCTTGTTGATAGGCAAAAAATTAGATTATTCTGAACAAGTTAACTCCCTTTCTGCTGTTGACCCCACAAATGGGGATGTGTAACTAAACAAATAACAAAGACTCTGTACTGAAATAATTCAAAAGGAGCAGTATACATGAACAACAAGTACTTTTATATATAGATACATGCACAAGTGTGTTTATATAGATTAGATTAATTAAGCGATGAGTGATGAATAGGTTGAGTAAAATAATCATTTATATCATTGTCTCCCTTAACCCACGTAGACCCCTGCATGGTGGTGTATCCACCATGCATCAGCGAGGCGGATCGCTTCAGCTTGGAAGCCTTATGGAGCATCCATCAAATGATGGACGATGACCAAGACGGAGGCATCGAGGTGGAGGAGAGTTTGGAGGTACAGAACTGTACAAAGATGTTTACAACGTTTTCGTAGCTGCCTGGAAATACTTGTGTGTGCATGTTCTTGCCTGACACAGACGCGGCCATACTGTTCAACAACAGGTGTTTGGGCTGCTGGACGAGTCAAGGATAGCAACGGTATGACTTTTGCTTTTGGCTCAGTGACAAAATGGTCTCGCTCTAATAGAATACTGCGACACTGGTGACTTCATGGTCATACCTGACAGCATAGCACCTCTTCATATTTTTTGACTCCCAACGCTTTCTTACAGTTGCCACAAAGAAACTTGAAAGGATTCACTACTCATCTCGTGGTGAAACACAACTATACCAAAAAATAAAATACCGGTTATTGCAACAATAAATTCCTAAATCTTAAAAAGAATGTTGTAATGCATGTTTTGACACATATATCTCTTATTTTCTTTGCTGACCTATAAATTATGGCACATTCCCAAACATATTTGTTTAATATACAAATACATTTAGTTAATGAGCCCAAAACTAAATTCATATTTCAATTAGTCATGTAAGTATTCAATATGAATGACGTCCAGAGTGAACAATTATTTGGTCCAATGATGTGTGAGTCTTTGGTTGTACGTGACGTTGGTAGTGCATCCAGAATTCTGGAATGCCTTTGCATGGTTCATGGATACAGTATCCCGGGGTTCGGGTTGCGGTTGCCTTGGAGACTTAAGGAGGAGGGGTTTGGCTGGGGGGCCACCAGAACACCAACAAGATTCCCTCTAGCCCCTGCATGTAGCCTCTGTTTACAGCCAAGGACACATTCCAAGACAGCACCAACACACGTAGACACACACATACACACACACACACACACACACACACACACACACACACACACACACGTTTGCAATAAACACTCATGTGTCTGCTTGCATTCTAAAGAAATACAGACTGAAAACACTCACTCCTTTTTCCCAGATTGAAATCCAAGTATACAGCACAAAGCCACAGAGCTTTTATGCTCAGCCAGCGTTACGTGATCGTGACCCCCGACCAAGGGTGGAAGTAACAAATTACAAACACGCACGTTACTGTAATTAAAGCGATTGTTTGGGTACTTGCACTTTCTTCGAGTGCTTTCTTCAAGTGTGTAGTTTTACACATACTTGAGTACAATTTACACCATGTAATCTACTTTGCTATTTTTAAAATCAAAAGTCGCTATTGAGTATGCCCACAATTTAAAATAATATTCAAACTGTCAAGATTTTTTTTTTCCAATGCAAATCCTCATTGGCTGTCATCGTGCCCGTGCCATTTATTCTAAGACGTGATATAAGCAAAGGCCAACTCTGCTGCAGCATGCAAATGTAAAATACACAACGGTGTAAAGACTGAGAATTTCAGAAAGAAATGGAAGGAGAAGAAAGTTATGAAAAGAAAGAACAATGATTATGATTACGGCCAAGTGTTTAAAAAAGACATAAAGGACATTAACTTTCGTCTCCGTCGTTACTATGGTCAACCTCCCATAGTCCATCCACTGTCCCACAGGTCGAGACCCCCTGGTGGCCCGGCGCACTTCCGTTGTGTTTTGAGTGAACTTTCTCTCTTGCATGTGTTTGCGTCATGTGTGCTCCAGTCGTTTTTGTGATTGCCGCATTTTTCTCTTGCAGCGTTTTACCGTTGGATTTGTTTTGCCGTTTGTAGCGCGTTTGCACGTGTCGGCCACCGGAAAATTGCCTGTAATTTTTCTATATGGTTCGTCTGAGAATTGTGCTTTGAATTTTAATTTTATACATCGAATGTCTGCTATTGACGATGCGATAAAACATCCATCTGTTAAAAAGTAATTTATACTCTGAGTAGTTTTTGAGAAGAGTACTTTGTACTTTTACTCAAGTTTTTTTAACACTAGTACTTTTACTTATTGACGTACTTATTTTACGTAATTGAGTACAATTCAAGCAATGTAACAGTACTCGTACTTGAGTACAAATTTTCCGTACTCTTTCCACCTCTGCCCCCGACCTTATTCTTCTATACAGTTTTTACTCGTTCCTGGTAACCTTCTCTTGTCTTTCTGCAGTTCATCATGGAGGACATGAAGCAGCAGCAGACCAACAAACACAGCCACCTGCACAAGGAAGACCAACACATCACAATCGAGGAGCTCTGGAGGGGCTGGAAGTCGTCTGAAGGTACAGTATGTCCGTACATACTGTCCGTGTGTGTTTGACAGATGTGTTTGAGATGTGCAGTATGTTCCAAAGTTACAAGCTCTACTTTGTCTTACTTTGTATCCTTTCCTTGTCTCACTTTTCAGTCCATAACTGGACTCAGGATGATGTGCTTCGCTGGCTGAAGGATTTTGTCGAGTTGCCCCAGTACGAAAGGAACTTTAAGGACTTTAAGGTCAATGGAAACACTCTCCCCAGGTAAGGATATCTCCTAATTCCTGTCGTCCGAGTCGTCATAAAAACTAGTCAGTTGATGTGAGGAGGTATCAACGGGCCGTACTTTCCCACCCTTTTTTCAGAATTGCAGCCAATGAGCCGTCCTTCCTGAGTGGCCATCTGAGGGTTCAGGACCAGAGAGACAAACAGAAGCTCAATATCAAAGCTCTGGATGTTGTTTTGTTTGGACCACCTACACGTAAGGACGAGTCCTTACCCTTTTCCCCCACATGCCTAAAAACCCTCCAAGCTTTCTTGAATATCGCCAGTGTCCCAACTGCTAATATACTCCCTTTGTCCCATCCCATCATCTATGATGCCTTTACGCTCCATGCACCATTATTAACCATGATCTTCCATTGCACCACAGGCCCCCCTCACAACTATATGAAGGACCTGCTGCTCATTGTATCCGTGGTGATGGGAGTTGGAGGCTGCTGGTTTGCCTCAGCCCAGAACAAAGCCAGTAAATTCCACGTCGCCAGGATGATAAAAGATTTGGAAAGTCTGCAGAGGGCTGAGCAGAGCCTCATAGATCTGCAGGAACAGTAAGTATTCGCCAATCAGTGTCTCTCACTTTCTGCACATTGATGAATTTACTTTGTATAGTGTGATCGTCTAAAACAACGTCCACCTGCTCAGACTTGCGGAGGCACAGGAAGAAAAACGCAACGTCGCAGAGGAGAAACAGAACCTGGAGGAGAAGATGAGGGATGAGATCATGGGGGCGCAGGAGGAGGCCTACCGTCTGCACGAGCTGAGGCAGGGAGCCGTCTGCGAGCTCAGCCGCCTCCGATACGCAGAGGAGGAGCTGGTGCAGGTGGACACGGAATACAAGCCTTTCCAGCATGATTCAACAATTTGCCTACGTATTGATGTCAGCCGTTTGACTGATGCGGCCCTCTTTTCAGATCCGCGGGGCACTGAAGCAGGCAGAAAAGGACATGCAGGCAAGCTCGACTGCCTCCGAAGCCCTCCAGCTGTGGTTGCAGCTGACGCATGAGGTCGAGGTCCAGTACTACAATGTCAAGAGGCACAGAGCTGAGCTACAGCTCGCCATCGCAAAGGAAGAAGTAATGGAAAAGGGAGCGGGGGGACATGAAAAACACACTGGTGATATTCAGTGGAAGTAATGGTAAATGGTAAATAGACTGTACTTGTATAGCGCTTTTCTAGTCTTCCGACCAGTCAAAGCGCTTTAACACTACATGACATCATTCACCCATTCACACCCATTCATACACTGTAGTACACTGGATAGGTAAGCAAGTAACTCTAAAACATGGGAAGGGCATTTACATTGTTCGCATTTCTCCTATTACCACACCAACTGAGCCGCGACTGTGTTTCCTCACAGGCAGAGAGGATTAAGAAGAAGAGGAGTTCTCTGTTTGGGACTCTCCATGTCGCACACAGCTCTTCGTTAGACCAAGTTGACCACAAGATCCTGGAGGCAAAGTGAGTTAAAGTGACCTTTGCTGGTTTTGTGTGTGTCCATCACAGTAATGCAGCATTTCGTCTTTGTACATCTCAAAGGAATGCCTTGTTTGAGGTAACAGCCTGCCTTCGGGAGCGTCTCCACCGCTGGCAGCAGATCGAGCGCCTCTGTGGTTTCCCCATCATTAGGAATACCGGCCTTTCGAACCTCACTGCTCAGCTCTACTCAGACTCGATGGCCCTGGGGTTTCCCAGAGTGCCGCAGCCTTCTTGGTCATGCCACAGCTCCCATGGCTCTATGGAGGATCTGTTAGAGGAGTCGGCTTCTCCAATCATATCTCAGATGCCAGGTAACTAACAGCGCTTTAGTGGCTTTTTTGTTTTTTTCCTTTGGATCTTCATCAGTGCCCACAAAGTGTTCCCGTGACTAAGGAGCCCATAGCATGAGATTTACACAACAAGCTGTACACAATGAACCATTCAAGGACCCCTTGTGAATTTTTATGTTTTATTTAAACAGTGTGAATTTACTGTCCTAGTGGCCTTCAAGGTGGCAATGTTGCTAACTGAAACTAATTCTTCCTTTTAAGAACTTTCGACCCCATGGATAGAAAGTTGTGTCCACAATAGAGCGTTCAAGTGATTAGAGCATAAGACCACCAATGCTAGCACCAATGCACCACAATCTTCGGCAAGAAGCCATTGATGCTAACAATTTAGTATGCTGGCCCCTGGATAAAGCATTTTCAAAAAATGCAGAAACATAATGACATGGGAGAAAAGGCTGTTGGCAATGCCAACTTCTTGCTCATCTTCCTATTTACAAATCATCTAAATAAAAATGTAACTTCAATGGACTCTGTCAGTTCTGAAAACATTAGGAAACTCTCATGAACTCTGAAATCTTCAAGATCGACAGAGCACAACCTAATATTTGAAGGCGGCCAGTTTCTCCGCCTATAGAATCATATAGTTTGGAAATCGACACATGACACATCCTGGTGTTGTAAACTAGGGTATATATATATTAGGGCTGGGCAAAGAGACATTTTCTATTGCAATTAATCACATGAATATCTCCGATTTATCATGCATACTCACATTTAATGCGAAAAATTGAATAATGCATTCAAAAGTAGTGTATTGCAAACTTTTATTTGTGCAAACACATTATGTGTGTTTTAACTATTCCCTTTACACAAAGGCAGTTAATATATTCATTGCAAATCCTAACTTTAATTTAATTCAATTAAAAAATATAAATCAATGTAAATCACATCAAGTATAAAAGCAAAGCTATTTGCCACTGCAGGGGCATTAACGTTTTATCTAGATTGTTCATACCATTCAATTCAATTCATTTTATTTTATTTTGTATAGCCCAAAATCACAAATTACAAATCAGGAATCAGGAATCAGGAAACATTTATTAGCCAAAATATGTCAAACATACAAGGAATTTGTCTTGGCGGTTAGTGCGCGACAGTAGACAGACAAGACAACAGTGCACAGGTAATAAAATAAAGTGGAATGAAATGCTAATGCAATGGGTTAGTAAGAATAAGGCTAAGGCTATGGGTTAGTATAAAACAGGGGAATAAAGTTAAACAAATTTTAAATATTAAAAAGTTGAAAAATATTAAGCATAAAGTGCACTAACAAACAAGTAACAGACAAGAGACAAAGTGACAAGTGACAAAGTGATGAATTGCAGTTAAAGTGACATGTGCAGTATGAGGGGGAGTGACCGGTGGAGTGTTATAGTCAGTCAGTGGGGGACCGGGCTCTGTTGATGAGCCCGACTGCCGACGGGAAGAAACTGTTCGTGTGGCGGGAGGTCGTAGTCCTGATGGACCTCAGCCTCCTGCCAGATGGAAGGGGCACAAACAGTTTATGTCCGGGGTGGGAGGGGGTCGGCCGCGATCTTTTTAGCTGGCTTCAGAGACCTGAAAGCGAACAAGTCCTCCAGGGACGGCAGATTGCAACCGATCACCCTCTCTGCAGAGCGGATGACACGCTGAAGCCTGCCCCTGTCCTTGGCTGTGGCTGCAGCGTACCAGACGGTGATGGAGGAGCAGAGGATGGACTCCATGATGGCCGTGTAGAAGTGGACCATCATCGTCTTTGGCAGGTTGAGTTTCTTCAGCTGCCTCAGGAAGAACAACCTCTGCTGAGCCTTCTTGGTGATGGAGCTGATGTTCAGCTCCCACTTGAGGTCCTGGGTGATGGTGGAGCCCAGGAAACGGAAGGAATCCACAATAGTGACGGGGGAGTCACACAGGGTGATGGGGGAGGGTGGGGCTCTGTTCCTCCTGAAATCCACAACCATCTCCACTGTCTTTAGAGCGTTGAGCTCCAGGTTGTTCTGGCTGCACCACGACACCAGATGGTCAGACTCCCACCTGTAGGCGGACTCGTCCCCACCAGAGATCAGTCCAATGAGGGTGGTGTCATCCGCAAACTTCAGGAGCTTGACGGACTGATGACTGGAGGTGCAGCTGTTGGTGTACAGGGAGAAGAGCAGAGGGCAAAGAACGCAGCCTTGGGGGGAACCGGTGCTGATGGTCCGAGAGGCTGAGACATGTTTCCCCAGCTTCACGTGCTGCTTCCTGTCAGACAGGAAGTCTGTGATCCACTTGCAGGTGGAGTCGGGCACGTGCAGCTGGGAGAGTTTGTCCTGCAGCAGAGACGGGATGATAGTGTTAAAAGCAGAGCTGAAGTCCACAAACAGGATCCTGGCGTAGGTTCCTGGGGAGTCCAGATGCTGGAGGATGTAGTGGAGGGCCATGTTGACAGCATCGTCCACAGACCTGTTGGCTCTGTAGGCGAACTGCAGGGGGTCCAGGAGGGGGTCGGTGAGGGACTTCAGGTGGGACAGGACTAGCCGTTCAAAAGACTTCATGACTACAGAGGTCAGGGCGACGGGCCTGTAGTCATTGAGTCCTGTGATCCTGGGCTTCTTGGGGACAGGGATGATGGTGGAGGCCTTGAAGCAGGCTGGTACGTGGCATGTCTCCAGGGAGGTGTTGAAGATGTCAGTGAACACCGGAGACAGCTGGTCAGCACAATGCTTCAGGGAGTGAGGGGAAACGGAGTCCGGACCGGCTGCCTTACGGGGATTTAGTCTTCTAAAGAGCCGGTTAACGTCTCTCTCCAGAATAGAGAGGGTCGTTGCTGGTGGGGGAGGGGAAGGTGATAATGATGAAGAGGCGTGAGCACCTGATGGGCTGGGGGAGGGAGGGGAGGGGGACTGCAGCAGGTTGGTGGAGCTGTGGGGGATGGGATCAGGACATTGTCTTTCAAATCTGCAGTAGAACTCATTCAGCTCGTCTGCCAGGCAGAGGTCATTCATGGAGTGGGGGGTTTTTGGCTTGTAGTTGGTGAGGTGTTTGAGGCCTCTCCAAACCGAAGCAGAGTCACTTGCTGAGAACTGTTGTTGGAGTTTCTCAGAGTACAGTCGTTTAGCATCTCTCACCGCCTTGCTAAACTTTGCCTCTGTGTACAAGTCTTTGTCCCCACTCCTAAATGCCTGATCCTTTTGCAGGCGTAGTGTTCTGAGTTCCGCTGTGAACCAGGGTTTGTCGTTGTTGTAACTCACCCTGGTGCATGATGGTACACAGCTGTCCTCACAGAAGCCGATGTAGGAAGTTACAGCCTCTGTGAACTCATCCAGACTGTCTGTAGCAGTCCTGAAAACATCCCAGTCTGTGCAGTCAAAGCACGCCCGAAGATCCTCCAGCGCCTCACTGGTCCACTTCTTGAATTCCCTCACCACAGGTTTGCAGAGCTTTAGTTTCTGCCTGTATGCAGGAATCAGATGGACCATGACGTGATCAGAGTGTCCCAGTGCAGCACGAGGGACGGCGTGATAAGCCCTGCTTACTGTGGTGTAACAGTGATCCAGTGTGTTCTCTCTGGTGGGGCATTTAATAAACTGTCTGTATTTAGGAAGTTCATGGCTGAGATTTCCTTTGTTAAAGTCCGCGAGGACAATAACTAAAGAGTCCGGGTTGGTCCGCTCCACACGCCGTATCAGGTCGGCGAGTGTCCGCTGTGCCTCGTGCACGTTGCCCGCCGGCGGCATGTAAACACCGACCAGGATGAATGAAGCGAACTCACGGGGGAATAAAAGGGTTTGCAGTTGATGAAAAAAATTTCCAGATCAGGAGAACAGTGTTTTAGGATCACCGTTACGTCGTTGCACCAGCTGTTGTTGAAGTAGAAGCAGATTCCTCCACCCTTTGTCTTGCCGGAGAGCTCCGTGTCGCGGTCCGCAGAGCCACGTCTCCGTTAAGCACAAGACGGAGGATGTAGAGAAGTCTCTGTCTCTCCTCATCAGCAGCTGAATTTCGTCCAGTTTGTTGCACAGTGAGCGCACGTTGGAGAGAAAGATGCCTGGCAGCGGAGTGCGAGAACCACGCTTGCGGAGTCTCACCAGCGAGCCGGCCCGTTTTCCTCTCCTACGGCGTCTCACCGCGTAACGAAAGGTGAGCGCACCTTTGACTATAATGTCCAGTAATTCCACGGAGGAAAGCAGAAAAGTTGGAAGTAACTCTGCTGGAGTTGTTCCACGGATGTTCAAGAGCTCATCTCTGGTGAAAGAGCTCCGGGAATCGCAGCAGCAAACGTAATTAACAAGCAGCTTAACTAAGCGCTGGTCCGGGCTAACCTGAGCCAGCCCTAACTATAGGCAGAATCAAAGAGGAACGTTTTAAGTTTACTTTAAAAAAGCTGACCGAATCTGCCCCCTGGACTGAAAGTGGAACCTGGTTCCACAAAAGAGGAGCTTGATAACTGAAGGCTCTGGCCCCCAGCCTACTTTTTAAAACCATGGGAACAACAAGTAACCTAGCATCTATGGAGCGCAGCTGCCTTGCAGGGCAATAAGGTGTTACAAGCTCTTTAAGATACGACGGTGCCTCACCAGCAAGTGCCTTGTAGGTGAGGAGAAGTAGCTTAAAATCTATTCTTGATTTAACAGGGAGCCAGTGCAGAGAAGTTAATACAGGAGTGATATGATCCCTTTTCTTAGTTCTTGTTAATACACGTGCTGCAGCATTCTGAATCAACTGGAGAGGCTTAAGAGATTTACAAGAGCAACCTGATAACAAAGAATCACAGTAGTCCAGTCTGGAAGTGACAAACGCATGAACTAATTTTTCTGCATCACTTTGAGACAGGAAGTTCCTGATTTTTGTTATGTTACGTAGATGAAAATAGGCAGTACTTGAAGTCTTCTTTATACGCGAGTTGAAGGTCATATCCTGGTCGAAGAGAACTCCCAGATTCCTGACGGTGCTGCTGGGTACCAGAGCAATTCCATCCATAAAAACGGTATCACGTGACAGCTGGCTTCGAAGGCGCTCTGGGCCTATCAGGATAACTTCCGTTTTTTCTGAGTTTAGCATCAGGAAGTTGCCGGTCATCCAAGTTTTGATGTCTCCAAGACATTCTTGAAGTCTAACTAGCTGGTCCGTCTCTTCTGGCTTGATCGACAGATACAGTTGAGTACCGTCTGCATAACAATGGAAGTTTATGCGGTGTTTCCTGATAAGATCGCCCAAAGGAAGCATATAGAGGGTAAATAAAATCGGTCCAAGTACAGAACCTTGTGGGACTCCGTGACCAACATTGGTGGTCTTTGAGGATTCACCGTTTACAAGCACAAACTGGGATCGATCCGATAGGTAGGATTTAAACCAGCTGACTGCAGTTCCTTTGATACCAATTAAATGTTCTAGTCTCTGCAACAGGATACAATGGTCTATGGTATAAAATGCGGCACTGAGGTCCAGCAAGACAAGAAAAGAGATGAGTCCTTGGTCCGATGCAAGTAGAAGATCATTCGTAATTTTCACCAGTGCTGTTTCTGTACTGTGATGCGCTCAAAATCCTGACTGGAAATCCTCGAACAAAGCATTGTTTTGTAGAATGTCACATAATTGATTAGCGACGGATTTCTCAAGGATCTTAGAGAGGAAGGGAAGATTAGAGATAGGTCTGTAGTTAGCCAACACCTCTGGAGCAAGAGTAGATTTCTTAAGAAGAGGTTTAATTACAGCTACCTTGAAGGACTGTGGTAGATGTCCTGTCAACAAAGACAGATTCATAATATCTAATAAGGATGTGCTAACTAAAGGAAAAACTTCCTTAAGCAGTTTGGTCGGAATCGGATCCAAGAGACAAGTAGAAGATTTAGACTTAAAATAAAGAAGTCAGTTGATCAAGGTTGATGGAAGAGAATGCATCCAAACAGGCATCAGGGCCCACTGCTGCATCCAAGGTTCCTACATCGGAGGACAGGTCGGCACTGGTTGAAGGCAGGAGACCATCAATTTTCTCTTTGATAGTCAGAATCTTATCATTGAAGAAGTTCATTAAGTTATTACTAGTGAGGTCCAAAGGAATACCCGGCTCAACAGAGCTGTAACTCTCTGTCAGTCTGGCTACAGTGCTGAAGAGAAACCTGCAGTTGTTTTTATTTTTCTCTATTAATGATTAGTAATAAGATGCTCTTGCGTTACGGAGAGCCTTCTTATACGTTTTAAGGCTGTCTTGCCAAACTAGCCTAGATCCTTCTGATTTGGTAGAACGCCATAATCATTCAAGTTTCCGCACAGTTTGCTTTAGGTTCCGTGTTTGAAGGTTGTACCACGGAGCAGACTTCCTTCTTGTTGCTATTCTTCTTTCCAGAGGAGCAATAGCGTCCAGCGCCACTCTCAAAGAGCCTGTAGCAGTATCGACAAAATGATCGATCTGGGACGGACTGAGGTTCTCACAGGAGTCTTCTTGTATCTTGAGGCAGGGCACTGAACTTAGAGCAGAAGGAATGGCTTCTTTAAATAAGGCTACAGCGGTATCCGGTAAGCGTCGACTGTAGAAACCTTTGGCAGGAGGAGGTGGTTCTGATAGTAGAAATTCAAAGGTTATCAGACAATGGTCTGACAGGAGAGGGTTCCGTGGAAAAATTGTTAAATGTTCAATCCCAATCCCATACACAAGAACCAAGTCGAGAGTGTGTTTAAAACAGTGAGTTGGTTTATTTACACACTGACAGAAACCAATTGAATCTAACAATGAAAGGAATGCAGTACTAAGGCTGTCGTTGTCGACATCCACATGAATGTTAAAGTCACCCACAATAATTACCTTGTCCGTTTTAAGGACCAAACTCTTTAAGAACTGTGAAAATCAGAAAGAAATTCAGAATAAGGACCTGGGGCCCTGTATACTATTACAAAGAGAACCGGCTGGATTATTTTCCAGGTCGGTTGCGAAAGACTGAAAACCAGGCTTTCAAATGAGTTATAATCCACTTTAGGTTTAAATTATATTAAAGGGCAGGAATCATAAATAGCTGCCGCCCCCCCCCCCCCCCCCCCCCCCCTCGGCCTGTGTCTCGGGGAATATGAGTATTAACATGACTCGGAGGAGTCGCTTCATTTAAACAGAAATATTCCCCATTCAACAACCACGTTTCAGTAAGACAAAATACATCAACATGGTGATCTGATATTAGTTCATTTACCAAAACAGCTTTAGATGACAGAGATCTGATATTCAAAAGACCCCCTTTAATTCTCCTATTTTGTTGCACTATTACATTTTTAGTTTTAACTTTAAGTTATTTACTATAACTCCTTGGTTGTTTACCTTTAACTTAGATAACTGTGTCCGTGGGGCAGACAAGGTCTCTATAGGGTTCATTATGCTGAGTGACTGCTGAGATTGAAGCGCAGAGAAGTGTGTAAGACTGCGACTCTGCTCCCTGGTCTGAACTTTGGGTCATGGATTAAGTCCACTAAGAAACTGGGTCAGGTTCTTAGAAAGAAGTTCAGCTCCATCCAAAGTGGAATGGATGCCGTCCCTCCTAATCAGACCAGGCTCTCCCCAAAACGTCTTCCAGTGACCATTATAACAGGCAAGTTGACATTTAGAAATCTGTTGTGTTTTGATTTCTGAACAGGTGAATGAATATTCTTTGATCAGGGAGCAGCATAAACAGGCTAAATATCAATCAATAATCTATCTCTATATCAATAATCTAGCAACTGTCCGTATTTAGAGTGAAGTGGTTGAGCACAAAGTACACACCTGATATTTACTTTGGCGGGACCTTTTTATATCTGTGAAGTCCATGTTAGTACTGGATTTCCGTTGGAGAATATTGGTCCAAAAGAAAAAAACATAATTTTATTGATTTTACAAACAAATAAAATTGTCCACGTAACAGTTGAGTACCTCTCTGCATTTTTTGTTCCATGCTGCAGCAGTCCTAGGCCCGCCCCCCAATTACTCTCATTGGTTGAGACGTGTGATGACGCCTCTCCCAAGCCAATATTGATCAACAACCCCCCCAACCCCTCTCCCCACCCCTCCCGCAACCCATGGTTTGTTTGTATGAATATTCAAAGCCAGTGAGAAATCAACATTATGATGATAAGCATTTTAATTCCCCTATTCTTTACCATTGGAGAAAACTCCAATGTCAACACAACACAACACAACCTATGTCAGCAGAAAAATCCTATACAGCAGTTTTTTTATATTGAGAACAGACTTCTGTTCCTTTAATCTATGTTTCCAGTGTTCGCTTACAGGCTACTAGTGGTGGCTGGTGGGAAATGTTCTAGGTGGGGATCAAATTAAACATCCCGGGTTGATTTAATGCAAATAACAATTAAGATATCAAAGACACTTTACTACGTACTACAAGCTTGGGGTAAAACCAATGTTGCCCCAAGCTGAGTCTATTTAAGGACGCTGATTGGCTAACTTGTATGCCAGACATTTATTTTTCTAATCAGTCACTGGCTACAGTGCTTCATAGACCCGCCTTCTACAACCACTAGCGGGTCGGGTTCTGCCAACTATGCAGTCTGGAAGAGATTTAAATTGTCCATGTAAGAGTTTGCTACCTCTCTCCATGTCTCTGTTTCGGTCCATGTTAGCTTGACGAGCAGTTTTAGGCCCACCTCCAAATCCTCTGATTGGTTGAGACACGCGGTGACGCTCCTCCCAAGCCAATACTGATCAACACCACTCGTCATGGTTTGTCTGTGTGTCAGAGACATTGAGCAACGGACATTGGAAATAACAATATTGACATAACTGTTAAAATGATTGATAATAGCGTGTTAACTTGTCTGGACTTTGTATGTACACATAGCTTAACCCTGTGTGATGGTATGAATTGTCTTATCTGTTCTACTGATTGGTTCATCTTTGATATTCCTCTAGTTCAACCCCCGAAGCGCTCTCCCCAAACCCGGGGAACCACTGTTTGTCGGTCACGTCGTTCCGGCACGATCGCTCAGCCAGCGGCAGCCATGATCGCCCCAGATCCAGACCTTCTCATCCCCATCAGAGCCCCATATCCTTGTGAAGAGGAGGGAGTCTTCCTGAAAACTCTAAAGAAACAGTATGTCTCTTTCTGCAGTTTTAGAGGCTAATTTGACAATACAGTCTTTGTTCATTCCTTGATTCCTTCTTTCTTTCTTATTTCCTTCCCCTATTCTTCCTTTAATTTCTCTGGTATATAGAAACTCTCAGGAGATCGTTTCAGACACAGAATATATAACATTCCCTCCTCTTGGCAAAATCCTCCCTTGTCCTACTGTTGACTTGTCCTCTCCAAAGATCTACCATGATGAAACTGAACTTTTTTTGGACAGCTCCATTACAAAGAGTAAAGAAATAGAGGCTGTTGTTGAATCTCCAGTTAGCAAAACATCAGCAGAAGAGCTTGAAGATTGTCTCGACGAAAGCTGCAGAAAGATGGGAAAAGACAGAGTGCGGGACGCTTTTTCCGAAACCTCATTTTGGAAGATGTCAAAAGAAGCTTCGTTTATAGAAGCTACGTCAAGGAAGGTACCCAAAGAAAGGAGGGAAGTCCCCATGGATGCTGCGGGTCGAACGTTACTTTCTAACGAGTTGGATGCGGAATTGTCAGGCCAGAAAGTAGAGAGAGATACGATGGGAGATCTGATTGACGCTGCTTCAAGAAATACATTTAGAGAAAGAAGTGATTTACCTCTGGACACGAGAAAGCTTATTTGGAATGAATTAGAAGCAACTACAGATGCGTCACCGAGGAAGATTTCCCGCGATATGATGGGGGCTTCAATGGACAGTGCCTCAAGAAAGATGATACGAGATGATGTTGGGCATTCGTTTCACTCAGTGCCCAGAAGGATTACAAGAGATTCAATGGGAACTTCCTTTGACACTGTTTCAAGAAAGTTTCTGTGGAATAATGAAGACTGCCAGCTTGATTCTTCTGTGAGGGCGTTATCTATGGACCAAATGTTTGACGCCGCAGAAACACCAACAAGAAAGCTATCCAGAAATGACCTAGAGTATTTGACAGACACTGCTTCTGCAAATTTGCTGCCCAGAAAGAGATTTGACGAACTTACCGATAGCTCGTCATCTACAGAGACGCAGGATTTTGGTCTAGGACCTTCAACAAGTAGAAGGTTACTGAGAAATGAACTTGAGTCTGCTGGTTCTCTCAACAGGAGAATACCGAGAATGCCGAGCGTTGATAGTGACACATCCACAGAAAACATCTCCTGGGATGTAGTTGACGATCCAATGGAAACACCTAAACAATCAACTCTCCAGGAGGAGTTGGGAGCGAGTTCATATCCAGGTCGAATTGGACAGCCAGACCTTACGGTAACCTCCCAGGTACCATGGGATTCGTCATCAGACCTCTACGCTGGCCCGCTGAGCCAGCTTGTGTATGATGGAATCCTCGAGAAGTCCTGCCACTCCGGGACTACGAGCCCCACCGGCCCCTCGGCCTCAGCGCCCAACGTGCCCCGGAGCAGGCCGCTAGTAGAGGAGGAGCCGCCGTTGCCACCATCAAGGCTCTCTTTACGTTCTCCCGCATTGCCCCCTGAGACTGGAGAGGAAAAGAGCAAACATAAGGAAAAGAGCAAGAAATCTTTGAGGCTAAAAAATCTTTTCAAAAAGAAATCTGAGTCATCTCCAGAGAAGCCTCAGAGTGGTCTACAGATACTCTGACAACCAGCTTTAGAATGTTTTCATCTTACTTTATTAAAATTCCAATTAAGAATTTCAGATCCCTTATTTACGACCATCTAGCATGGGATAGCTGAAAGTAAATTTTATTTTCGAGTCCTTAGGAAACATAAAAGATGATGGCGCTTCTTACATTATTTTTTTATAGGCCTGCCATTGAGTTATATAATGAAAATTGTGGTGCTATTCTGTATAACAGAGGCAATGCTTATATTTAACATGAGCCCCCAGTGGAGACTTTTGAAGCCAGCAGCAGTTAAATTCATTTCACTAGAGAGATTTCTGTGTTCATTTTGTCTCTGGGTTCGTCGGACTTGTTTGAAGTTGTGAAAACGTGATGTGAAATCTCATGCTCAAATCAGGATTTACAAACGTTTAAATTGACAGCGGTGGGATTTTTCATTACAAAGTTATCAAAACCACACTTTTTTTAGACTCTTAACCTTAAAGTTCTTCTTAACTTGATATTTTATTGTTAGTCTAGACTACTTATTGTATTCAGTATTGTTTGTAACCGAGTTTTGAATGGCCTTAAACATGTTTGACACCTGAATAGGTCTGCACTAAGAAAAGCCTCCAACATATAGTTGACTTCAATTAAAACATTAAAAAATGGATAATGCTTTCATACATTACATTACATGTAATTTATTTGATGCTTTTATCCAAAGCGACTTTTGTGCATTTCAACCATAAGGATACAAACCCAGAAGAACAAGAAACAAGAAAGTGCAATTCCATCAAATAAGCCGATTTATAACTTGCTATCATAGACGGTATTCTCCCGTGTTTGTATTTTTCTGAGAAACTTTGAACCTTTTTTCTCACCAGAAAAATCAAAAGTGGAAAATCCAGCATTCTTTAGGTGAAAACTGGCTGAAATGTTGCTGAAATAGAGACAAAATAAAAAAATTGAATCTCATTGTTTCTTGATGCACATATTCATAATTTAAACAGCAGCCTGCTTTCTCTCAGTTTTCCGAGCTTGGTAATGGGTCAACCGGGACATAGCATTTGAAAATAATATTTTTACCCGTTTAAAAAAGCATTTGTCCTGGTCCTCTGGATCGACTAGAGACAAAATTGTTTCAAATGTTCTGCATTGATTTGCCAAATGCTCACAAACTGCTTGCTAGCTCGATTTTCTTTTTTCTTAAAATGTTTGATGGTTTTTATGCTTCTTTTATTGTTTACAGGCATTAAGTCTTTGACTTTGAGTAGTTTATTGACCTTTAAATAATTAAAATAAGTTATTTGTAATTAATTGCTTTTTTTCCCTTTGAAAAGGACAAGCACTAAATTGTATTATTAATGTACAATGACAAGGTCATTGTTATCTGATGATTTAACAAGTGACAATATGTAAAATGAAATTTGAAATTATGTTGCATGATTCTACAATAAAGAATCTAAATGTTGACAGTGTGCCAATTCTTGCAAAGCTTTATTATTAAAAATGCAGCTTAAAAAGGAATAAGTCTCAATGGAGTAGGAATTCTATAAATAGCCTGCTGTTCTCCTGTTTTTGTTGTCAAAACCTAACTTTTATTTTCATAAATTATTTTTTGCCCATAAAACGAAATACGAAATGCAGCAGCTTAACAGGAAGTACGTACATTTTCACAGTAAAGGTCAACGCAATGGATGGTTTATATGCTAGAAATGTGTCTGTGATTCCAGCATGTACCAGGGTATCATCAATAAGTTTATTAATGAATATAAATAAGTAATCCTGGGCCGATGGGAGTGTGTTAGCAACAGTTGACTTACACGCAGATTCCTGTTCATTCATCGTGCTTCAGTGAACGCAGAGCGGAGACGCGGAGTAAACGTCTTCACATCTCTACCACTAGGTGGCAGAATTCCTGTATTTAAACCATTGAGCTAATCATACCTGTGTCTTTGTTAATTATCTCGGCTACTGAAACTGAGGCATTTAGTTCTTATGTTTATTTAATTTGATACATATGGTTAATGTGAAACCATAGCTCTATGCATGTAATTTTATGTCATGTTCATTAAGCAATAAATAATGACAGTTTAAGAATAGAGACGTTTGGTTCATTCATTGTTGTGTATCTGTGAGATTTTATCTTGCACAAAATACATTATGGTCAATACAACAGTACTTGTGCACTGTACTTATCTATATTATTTCATTATATTTTGATAGAAGATAATGTGTCAAAAAAGGATGTAAAGACGGCACGTAAATGCATCTTTTGAAATACAGCACACACCTCAAACTACTGGTAGTGGCCAAATAATGTTCTGCCTGGTCTGTGGTATACATCTATTTAAAAAGATTTTCTTATAGGCACTATGGGTTCATCTTGTGGGATCTTTGTGGATAAAAACGGCTTCTGCAGTTTCCTTTTTCTTTATTTCCAATTCTCTGTTTTTAATTCACTTGAGAGCACTTCAATTATGATGAATCAATTTATTGTAACTTATTTGCGATTAATAAGTTACTTATCCTCCTAACTTGAACAATTAAATATCCAAAGAGAAAACCACTTTTACTTTGCCAGTTTTCATTTCCACATGTACAGAGAATCTTTATTGACATTTTTATAATTGCTATTGTTTTTCCTCAATAAAATCGAGTGATTTATATTTTTGCATGAGCAATATATTAGGCTGTTCTGTATGTTAGTCTTGACATGTGTTGTGTTCAAAAATGAAGAAACGCCGGATGGACAGATCGCTGATCAAAAGGTTAAAATCAAATGTATTTAATAAAAGAGATGGTGTTGTGGTAAAAAGAACATCTCAGCTGAGGAGCCGCTGGTCTCAGCAACCAACAGGCCCCAGGTCAGTCCTTTTGACCATCCCTAGTGCCCGTTTGTCGCCTCCCTCAGCGAACTCCAGAACAATGGTTCCTACAGGTATTTATAACAATGCTTAAAGGTGTGAAAGTCAGTGTCCACACCTCTGGGAGTGGTCCTCCGGTGAGCCCAATGCAACTCGGATTTCGAATGGCCCACAGTCAACATCAGTTGCTGTGCAAGCACTACACGCATGCACTCCAGCCAACCACACCACACCAAATACAATCACAACTGCACTGGCACCATTCCACCACAGTTGCAGAACCACAGCGGTTCCACAACACTGTCATTACCCCACTGACCACAGTCTCAGAACCACGGCTGCACTCTGGTGTACACCATATGCATTCCCACCAATCCCATGAACCGGGTCGTATATTTGTCTCCAATATCCTACACATGCTAATACTAATTACTGTTTTAATTATTTTTAAATTGTTGATTCATAAAATTGTATTCTAAATGTAAGCAAATAAAATGTTTGTCATGAGGCGACTGTGTGCTTTATACTCGATACAAGACTGAGACTACTACTGATTTTTACGACTACACCTGCTGCTGCTACAGTTACTATGGATATACAAATGCTGCTACTAAGGCTGCTTCTACTGCAGCCCTTGATACTAATACTGCTAATATTACTCCTGAATGCTATTTCTGCAGATTCTGATGCTAGATTTCAGTTCAGTTTCACTTCAAGTACTTCTACAGTTTAACAGTGCAGCTTTCGGCTTCTTTTGTGTTGTATTTCAGCTCTCAGCTTTGTTAAATGCTGCAGTTCATATTCCACATTGCCACTTTTGAAATTCAAATATTATATTTTCCCGCTGTCCTGGTCTTGACTTTTTGGCATTAACACTGTAGCAGGAGTCGAGCTACAACCTTTAAGGTTGGCGTAAGGACGCACGGAGACACAATTATTCTGAGAAATATGTTTTATTTATTTATTGTTTCGCAGTGAGCAGGTTTCGCGTAGTTGTCCTCGTCGGGTCGGGTCGGCTCGGCTCGGCTCGGCTCGGCTCGGCTCGGCTCGGCTCGGCTCGGCTCGGCTCTGCTCTGCTCTGCTCTGCTCTGCTCTGCTCCTCGGCCTTGCCCCTGAGCGTCTGCGGCAGAGTCTCCTTTCTCTCCAGGTCCTGCTCACTGCTTTTCAAGGGACACACAATCAGTTCTGATCACTTCCACCTGTGCTCCTTACTCTCCTGCCAGCACCGTCCCCTGAACCACTCCCCCGCTCTCCCCCCTGCAGCTGAGCTAACCACACCCCGCCACCACTAACACTTTTTCAGCAAAGCCATTGGAAATTTCAATAACTTCAGCAATTTAACTTAATTTCATATTTGAGCTTGTTAAGAGTGTATGAATACATGTACCTGTAACTGTTAAGGGCAGTGTTCCCTCCCCTTTCTCTGTGTGTACACGTCTCTCCCGTGAGCGGGCAGTTGAGCATGTTGTGCTTGCATTAAAGAATGCCACGAGTCGGATGGCTAAAGAGATAAACGCCTGGACGTCCGTTCATTCTCTGAATATCATTGTTCCGCCGCGCAGGTAGGCCGAAGGAGTAAGCCTACCTATCAACAGAGCTTGCTGGTACCTTGTCATTTCTATATCATGAGCATTTTTTTAATTCATTTCAGTGTTTTGGCTTGCTGGTACATTTTTGGATTTCTGTATTTTCAGCAGTTTTTGAAATACATTTTAGCTTATTATTTATGTATTTCCTGCAATTTTTCAAATTCATTTCAGCTGTTTTCATTTCTGCTTTTTCAGCAATCCTATTGAAATTCCATGCAGCTGCTCCCATATCTGTATTTTCAGCAATTTCAAATTAATTTCAGCTTTTCTAATATCTGTAATTTCAGCAAATGTATTCAAATTCCCTTCAACTTTCTGTATTTTCAGCTATTTTTAAAAATTCAGTTCAGGTTTCAGCTTTTTGCATTCCAACGCATTTTCAGCAGGAAGTGCATTTTCTAGTGTATCATATTGTGGTGTTTAAAGACCTACTTTCCGAGGAGACCCTGAAGGCAGCATTCACTAGCAACAAGTTGAGGTTAGCTCCCGTCTTGTATTTTTTCAAATGCCCTAAGAAATCATTTAAAAGAGTCTGAATTCACAACACTGGGAAAGCAAACAGGACAACAACAGGACCACTGTGGTGGATGTAATCGTCACTATGGACAAAGAGAAGTCGGCACAATTGACGAAAATTCAATATCTGGAGGAGCAGTTGGAGAGGTAAGACCGAAGTAAGTTAGCTAACGTTAGCTAACTTTAGCTAATGTTACACTACAGACCTGCTTCTGATTCGGGGGTCAGTAATGTATCCTAAATGGTTTACGAAGACAAAAAAGTAAACTCAAATGAAGATACATGCTCTGGTTTTACATTTTAAACTTACAAAGTTGAACAGATGAAAAGAGAAAGCTCTTTAATGTTAGCTAGCCAGCCGTTAGCAAAATCAAGGTTACGTCCGTTAGCATTAGCTTCAGTTTGTTCCACATTAACTAAATGCGACTGTAACTGACAATTTAAAAATATTAAATTAGTGCCTCTGCCACCATGTTAAATATGCTGTAAAAATGCTTCCTGGAGAACAAAAAACTGTTGCTTTGCTGATTGGACCAAAGGTTCAACGCGTCTTTGTTATAACCCTAACCCAAAACTATACTGAATTAAAGTATCCACAATAAAATACTACAATGAACAGTTACAATACAGTACAATAATTATTATAGTTTTAGCAAGAAAATTGTTCCAACTGCTGCTGCAACTGACAGTTTTGGATTTAATAATCCTCAAGTATTCGTTACCGCTCTCACAATTTGAATATTTATACTTAAGTTAGTCTATTATGTATTTTAAAGCAGTGTTATTGAATTAAAGGACCCCACTTTCTGTTCCACTCTTTTTAAATGTATTTACACCATATGTATCAAACAATTACACAATAAGATTTTAGTATGTATGTGTTTAAACTGAATGATATTTTGTTCAATCAGTTTATTTTGAATTATAAAATCCATCCATTTTCTGCGGGCTTAGTGCATTTGCATGTTACAACGTATCTTCCGCCTGCAGATGGCAGCTGCATTACGACTGGCTGCAGAAGAAGAACGTGGAGCTGACCGCCCGCTACGGCGCCCTGGAGAAGGACAAGATGGACACCTATCGGCGCCTGAAAGGCAAAGAGGATGCAAAGGAGACGGAGGAGAGGGAGCTGGATGAGCGGATGCAGGCGGCCGAGCAGCACCGACACGACCTGAAGCTTCAGCACGGCCGCGAGATGGAGAAGCTTCAGCGTCGTCTGGATGACCTCCAGTCGGAGGGCGAGGCGCTGGGTGAGACGCCGGAGAAAGTGCTTGTTTATTTCATCTTCTTTGCTCCTGAAAAGATGCTTCAATCTGCATCACGGCACTTCTCTAAAACGCCATTCTTATTTGAGCCTTTTAACCAACTTGAATGATTACGCAATTATGGCAAATAGCTTTCAGTTATATAATTTAATTAAGATACCACAAACTGTCAGTACTTAAAAGATAGAAATATTTCATTTAGGGCAGCGACTAACTATTATTTCTTCAATTAATCGATGAATCAGAAAATCGCATTAAAAAGCTTTAACCCTTTATTCTAAAACAGAACTGCAAATTCACATTGCAAAAATACATCAGAAAGTACCGGTTGCTCCTTGAACATAATAATTTATAAAAAAGAAAAATACAAATCAGAAACTTTTAACAGGATTTGTTTTAACGTCAGAACTTGTTCTCTATACTACACACACAAACTCTCACACTCACCAACACCCCCCCATGTTCATTTGAAGCTTATTCATTAAATGATTACCATCATTGTAGTGCAAGTTAAGTAAATGTATACAGCTAAAACACAACCAAGTGCTATGAGATGAATTAAAAATGTGTAGATGTAATGCATTAGAGGCTTCTTAGTTGATTTAATGTGTCTCCCTTTACAGGCATGACATCAACTACCGTATAAACCACAGTATGTGCGCACTAGACTACCGTACATGACAGCATTAACAATTACGACACACACATATATATTTGTCAACAATAACCGATATGGGACAAGCACAAAATACATATATACATGTATGTTTATTTTTGCTCCGCGCGCATCTCCGCAACTCATTGAGTGACATAATAATTGCGCGACACAACAAATCGATAATTAAATTCATTGTCAACGCCTTTAATAATCAAATTTAATCTATTTCATCGATTTGTTGTTGCAGCCCTAATTTCATTTTTTTAAATTAAATTGTTTTTTTCATATTTTTTTATTATTTTTATATGAAATAAACACATTTGAAAAAGAGTTATTTTCTGGGAATGTCTGCAGCAGGTGGGCAAAACTTTTGACCCGCGGCCCACAATGGGTTCTAAAATTTGACAGAGGAGCCAGGCCAGGAACAGATGGATGGAGTGTTCATATGATCTGTCGAAGTGTCCCTGAGCAAGACACCTAACCCCTAATTGCTCCCCAGGCAAAAAAAATGTGAAAAAGCCTTGGGTTTAAAGTGTAATGTAAGTCGCTTTGGATAAAAGCGTCTGCTAAATGACCTGTAATGTAATGTAATAGAAATTACATGTAAAAATCATTGGGCTTTTAACAAGTAGCAAAGCATTTATATGCACGACAATTTAACAAATTTCACGAACAAGAAGAATACAAAAACGTGACGTGACTGCTCAAACATGAAAACATCTGAGGTCTGCGGCCAAACCAATTACCTTACTTAAATTCTTTATTATCTGCATTAATGGATTAAAGTTGACTTCAGTTTGCTACAATTTACTTGAACTATCAATCCTTTTGAAGTGTAAACATGCAAATCAAGACTACATAAAATGTATATGTACAGTCACCAAATCTTCAGCTTTTATGAGTGTGTAAAGCTCCTTTTGCATGAAAACACATCAAAGACAAAAAGAGTAGCTCTTTGCATGTAACTGGTGCAGGGGTGCAAAGCTCCACCGACTTCATGAGGACCAGGGACCTAAACGCAACACTTGTCTTTGTCGGTTTAGTCGCAATCCTTTTTGACATGGCGAAACGGAAACGTCATAGTCCTTTATTGTTTCCACTGTGTTGCTTGTCTCGACTACAAAACAAACCCACTTAACCTTTTCACTCCCGTATGTCCTACAATCAGTGCAATACATTATTTTCTTTATTACCAACCAGCCATTCCCAACTGGACCTCCACTTTTCATTTCTCTTTGTGTCCTCTTCATTTTCATGTCCAGTTCTTCTCTCGTGTCCTCCTGGTTTTCCTCCACCTGCTCTGTCATGTCCTTCACCTGCACTGAGCAGTTGTATCAAAAGCCTCCACCTGTAACGTGTGTTTGTGCGACCATGTTGCTCCGTAACGAACGTACGGTGTTGATCTTTGGGGGTCCCGGAATGAGGATGTACAGAACAGATCGGTTCGTAATAACTTTATTTTGCAGCCGTCGTTCCGATCCCTCGTCTGGCTGCTTCTCTCCTTCCTGCCGGATCGCCACTACTGTGTTTAAATACAGGGAGACAAACAAAACCTTCATTCCCTGCAGCAGAGTCAAACCACGCCCGCCACCACAACACTTCATCACAGTCTTCTCAAGAGCCGGTGGCCATGTCTGGTCTAGACCGAGCTGGTTATCATTCAGAAATCCATCTGGCCTGAAGTTGTGAATGTGAATGATCTGAGCACCTCCTAGTTTCCTTTCTCTTCCGCTCAGCGATTAAATCCCGCCAGCAGCAGGAGCTGGTGCAGGAGATGGTGCAACACCGGTCCGACCGGGAGACCGAGATGGAGCTGCTGGTCGGTCACAACAAAACGCTTGAAGCGGCCATCGACTGCTGGAAGCGCGAGGCAGAGCCGGAGAGGAGAAGGTCAGTGAGTCCAGCTTTGAGTTGATCCGCGGGGCTCTGAGGTCGATCCCCTTCCTCACCCTCGTCCCTCAAACAGGAAGATCGCGGACAGAGAGAAAGACATCGAGAGATTAGCTGAGGTGAAGATCTCAAGGATCCTCGAGTCGGAGAGAGCGGCTCACAACAAGCAGCTGGAGAAGCTCTCCTTCCTGCAGGAGGAAAAGGTGTCCCTGCTGGAGGAGAGAGACGTCCTGCGAGACCAGGAGAGGGATCGCTGCACCGAGAGGGACCGCCAGAAGACGGCCGTGAGGAGGGAACAGGCGGAGCTCCGCTCCTGCAGGAAGGTAGGAGGATCTATTAAACATCAGACTAAATGAACATCAAGCTGTATTGAAAAAGACTTGAAACTGAGACCATGAACTCATGTTTACAATGTTTACTGAGGGAATAAGAGAACTCATAGACGTCTATGGGAGCAGAGGAGTCGCCCCCTGCTGGTCACTACAGAGAACTCAGCTTTAATCTTCATCTTCAGGAGTTAGAGCAGATGCAGAATGAGTGCCAGCGGCTGAGGGTGGAGCTGAAGGATTGTAGCTCCGCCAACAAGGGCCTGCTGAAGAGGAAAGACATCCTCAGGTAAAAGTTCCTACAAACCACTTAAAATCCACTTTCAACGTTAAATGCTCATTATCCAAAGGATTAGAATTAGACCCCCCTCCCCCCCCCACTGCACCGTGCTCCACGGTCACTGCCCCCAACGATATTCCAGTGTTTGTGTATCCTCAATAGTCCCTTTGGGAGGTTACGGTGATTTCCTCTGTGCCTCGTGTTGGCAGAAGGCTCCTGGCCGCGGCGCCGGAGAAGCGCTGCCTGCAGACGGCTCGGGTGGCCCGGCTGAGGGCGGAGCTCCAGAGGGAGAGCAGGGAGTGGGGGCGGCTGGAGGCCGCCAGGGAGGAAGGAGTCGTCCTCGTCGGCCACATCCTGATGGTAAGAAGAAGAAGAAGAAGAAGAAGAAGAAGTTGCTCTTAAATACGGTCCGGTGTTTTTTTTTTTTTCTGCCAAGGTCAGAGGTCACATTCTCCTTTCTGCTGACCTCACAACATTTTAAATGTTATATGTAATATTCACGTTACATTAAATCTAGGTCTGTCCTCTGCAGGACTCAAAGTCTGACGCGTCTGAGATAGAGCAGAAGATGCTGAGGCTGCTGGACATCCTGGAGAGCTCCGCGCCCCCCAAGGGGACCAGGCTCCACCACAAACCACTCCCCCGACGAGGACGGAAGAGGACGGAAGAGGAAGAGAAATACGCCTTGAAATCAGGATCCAAGGTCACTGCCAAGTCCACTAAATAGACAGGATTCTGCTCGAGTGAGACTGGTGCCGGGAAATGCTGAAGACACAAAAGTAATTTAAAGCACAATAAAATAATCTAAATTCTAAATAATGGTTTAACATGTTCAGTACGCTGTGAACCGACGCTGTGAACCGACGCTGATAACGACTAAAAGGATATCAGAGAAACAGTACAATAACAACATAGGAAAATGCTTTTTAAAGTTCTCCTAATAGCCACTAGGTGCTTTATCCAAGGAGGAGCAGCTCGTATGTTGGTTCTCTGGGCCATTTGGAAGAAGTCTCAGATGCTTTACTGAGGTAAAAGTACTGATACTGCACAGTGAATGTCTCCCACAGTCCAAATATGGTCACTTCCTGTTCACTGGTTGCAAAAAACAAGATAGCAATGGGCTCAATGCCGAACTCAAGGCTTCAATAACGCAGTTCACAAACCAGTGGATGACGTGCTCTTCTTATAAATAGTATATTGGGTAAACTGTTACATGTGGACATTAAGGAATCTATAGCCAACAGCTCATTTGTATTAGTTTAAAGCACATGGATACGTCTCTATGATCCCAATCTGACAGCTGCATGTTAACTTCAGGCTTTCATCTGAATCTCTTTGTCTTGCTGAGGGTTCAGATGGAAGGATTTAGTGCAGGGGTGACAAAACTTTTTTCTCTAACCCTCTAATGTATATCCACACATTATCATCAGGGCCGGGGCCGGGTCAGCTATATAACATAGAATTGTATGACCCAGACCAATTTGACCACCAGCAGGCCTCATTGTGTAGTAGAGATTATTAGCCTGGCACAGCCATCCCCACTACTACAGGTGAAACTCGAAAAATTTGAATATCGTGCAAAAGTTCATTTATTTCATTAATTCGACTTAAAAGGTGACACTAATATATTACATAGTGAGATATTTCAAGTTTTTTTTAATATAATTTTGATGATTGTGGCTTGAAAAGCCCAAATTCAAAATCTTGGAAAATTTGAATATTGTGAAAAGGTTCAGTATTGTAGGGTCAAAGTGTCACACTCCAATCAGCTAATTAATCCAAAACACCTGCAACGGGTTCCTGAGCCTTTAAATGGTCTCTCAGTCATGGGGAAGACTGCTGACCTGACAGTTGTGCAGAAAACCATCATTGACACCCTCCACAAGGAGGAAAAGCCTCAAAAGGTAATTGCAAAAGAAGTTGGATGTTCTCAAAGTGCTGTATCGAAGCACATTAATAGAAAGTTAAGTGGAAGGGAAAAGTGTGGAAGTAAAAGGTGCACAAGCAGCAGGGATGACCGTAGCCTGGAGAGGATTGTCAGGAAAAGGCCATTCAAATGTGTGGGGGAGCTTCACAAGGAGTGGACTGAGGCTGGAGTTACTGCACCAAGAGCCACCATACACAGACGGGTCCTGGACATGGGCTTCAAATGTCGTATTCCTCTTGTCAAGCCGCTCCTGAACAACAAACAACGTCAGAAGGGTCTTACCTGGGCTAAAGAAAAAAAGAACTGTTGCTCAGTGGTCCAAAGTCCTCTTTTCTGATGAGAGCAAATTTTGCATCTCACCAGAGTCTGGAGGAAGAATGGAGAGGCACACAATCCAAGATGCTGGAAGTCCAGTGTGAAGTTTCTACAGTCTGTGTTGGTTTGGAGAGCCATGTGATCGGCTGTTGTTGGTCCACTGTGCTTTATTAAGTCCAGAGTCAACGCAGCAGTCTACCAGGACATTTTAGAGCACTTCATGCTTCCTTCAGCAGACAAGCTCTATGGAGATGCTGACTTCATTTTCCAGCAGGTCTTGGCACCTGCCCACACTGCCAAAAGTACCAAAACCTGGTTCAATGACCATGGTATTACTGTGCTTGATTGGCCAGCAAACTCACCTGACCTGAACCCCATAGAGAATCTATGGGGCATTGCCAAGAGAAAGATGAGAGACATGAGACCAAACAATGCAGAAGAGCTGAAGGCCGCTATGATGGCATCCATGCCACGCCGCATTGAGGCAGTAATTAATGCAAAAGGGGCCCAAACCAAGTACTGAGTACATATGCATTCTAAAATTATTCTAATTTTTCGAGTTTCACCTGTATATCCACACTTGATTCCTGGCACATATTTGTTTGTCTTTACTTGTGGTTTGCAAAAGTAGTAGTCGAGTCTTCACACTTTGTTTTAATTTGAAATATCACAGATATTCTATTTATTATATTATTATAGGTGAGTGAAAATTATAAATTATAGGTAGGCCTGTTGGTATTAATAATAATAATTGTGGGCACAATTAATTAAAAAAAACATTGAAATTATAATAACATGAATAATGGAACAACTAGCCAGCTCTTATACCTGTCCAGGTGAGCATGTTCAGTAAACATTCTTTAGGTCATTATTCTCAATACAGAATAATGGGAATCAAAATCAGTAGTATATGTAGGTGAGCTGGATTGGCACTTGTTGATGAATTGTCTTTGGGATGGAGTCAGCAACACCAATCTCCTCTCCTCACTTCAGGGGGCCTTCTGGAGCCCTGGCATGGAGGGATGACAGATTGAACACAAGAAGCACCATATTCAGGGTTCATACACATTTTAACCAATACTTTTCCATGACTATTTTGATTAATATGTGCGAGGCAAAGAGAGCAAGACAGCGCTTAGTTTGGAGACGGTGAAGGCTCCGAAGAGAGAGTGACCGTCTCTCTCTCTCTCTCTGCTCGTTCTTTCAGTTAAACTTGGAGCTCTGCTACAGGAGCAGATCACTTTAACGTTACATGCCGGTCACATCGTCTCTAAACAGTCCGCTCACAGTGAAGTCCTGCGCCAAAGTTTTTTTTTTTTTTAAAGAATTCACCAACACCGCGAAACATTTCGGCACAGAGTGAAAAAAAGTCTGTGAGTGAATCGGAAGTGAACTGAACGTTATGCCATGACGACCTTTGGGCAGCGATTCCCAAAGTGTGGGCCGCGGAGGTACTGCAGGTGGGCCGCGAGAGGTAATTTACAATACATGAATAAAAAGTTTTTAATTTTCAATTTTGAAAAGTTTGAAATTAATATAAAAATATGTATGATGCGGCACATTAGTTATGTGAAACATTAATTGATGAAGCACAAACAATTTAAACGAACAGATTGATTAATCGGTTGATCCATACTGGTTGCACACGGCGCTCAAGGCGCTCTGCCAAAGCTCTGTCTACGACGGCGAGATGCTGAGCGGCGCTCAAGCGCGTGAGATACGGAGCTTGTTTTAGACACGTTACTCGATTCAGTCTGCCTGTCTGTGACGTCATCAGTACGCAGTGGCAGCCGTGCGAAACTCTGAACAACAACAAAACACAGCGTGGAGGAGACGACTGCGAGCGAGACATTTACAAACTAACTTATCGATCCAGCGCGTGGAAACATTTTGGCTTTTGCAAACACGGAGGTGTTCTAAATAAGTTGGTCGCTGTTTGTAGAATATGTAGAAGCCAAATAAAAAACACGGAAACACAACAAATCTTTCTAGCCATCTATTAAGGCGCCGTGGGATTAAACAACGGCGACAGTCCAGGACCTCTAGCAGCGTTGCCGCTGCAGCAGCAGCAGGTAACTCCAGCTCTGCAGACACCTCGGGCCTCATCACAGTAACAATTGCCAAGTTTATCTGTAAAGACCTGCGACGGTGAAAATCTGGGGTTCTGTAAATTGATCCGAACATTGTGTAATTATTGTGTAATGTTTACATTGAAAATGGTTGCACAATAAAAGGTTTATACATTTGCCATTAATTGCTGTTTGCTTGTTTATAATATGCATAATTAATTTAAATCTGATTTCCTTACAAGAAACAATAGGGATCTCGGAAACTTTGCCTGCACTGTCCAGTAAAGTTACTGAATCGATTTCAAGTCACTGAATCGAATCGTTCTAAATTAACCCAGATCGTCCATGAATCGAATCGGCAACCATAAATCGCGATTCGCATCAAATCGTTGTTAAAATGAATCGTTACACCCCTATCTGTAGATATTTTCCTTCCGTCACCTATCACCAAAACATCAATCATACTCCTATACCCTTTTTTATTAATCCAATTAAACTATACATATGTGTACGCTCTTTTTTTACGCTCTTGTTTTTTATTGTCACTTTAAATCTTTTTTTTAATGAATGCCTGTTCCAAGAAATAATAATAATAATTTGAATACAACAGCAACTACCAAGTAGGCCGACCTCGACCAGTGTAAACGGCGTGGATTGGAGTTGTTCTCCGTATTCCGAGCTGGTGGCTTTGAGATGGGAAATCTCGACGTGTGTCGCGATCTGTAGCTTCTTTTCCACTGCTGCCTCCCTCCACAAACACACCGGCATTTGCGTTTCCCCCTGTGAAGTAAAATAATATTTGAAATGTCTGTCTAATGATCTGTCTGTGTTGCTCTCTCAATATAAAGTAGATCGCTTACCTGCTGCAGCTTGATGTGGCGCATCGGAAAGCTCTCCCTTCCCTTGGTGATATTTTTCACCGTGGACATCTGAACAAGATGGGTTAATTCAAATTGCATGCCAATATGCGTCATTTCCCCTAGTTACTCTAGCATAATCGAAAAATGTACTTACTGAATTTAGACAAAAGAAAATAAATAATACAAGAGACAACATTGACTTCAAGCAAAAACGGAAAGAGTAAATTTCAAACAGGTACAGAGAAAATGCTGAGAAATAATCCTCAATTTAGAGAAACAAAAACAAATCTTGGTCTCTCGTTACAGAAATAATCCTCAGTTTAGAGAAAACAAAAGAAAAATCGTGGTCTCACGTTACAGTAATAATCCTCAATTTAGAGAAACAAAAACAAATCTTGGTCTCTCGTTACAGAAATAATCCTCAGTTTAGAGAAAACAAAAGAAAAATCGTGGTCTCACGTTACAGTAATAATCCTCAATTTAGAGAAACAAAAACAAATCTTGGTCTCTCGTTACAGAAATAATCCTCAGTTTAGAGAAAACAAAAGAAAAATCGTGGTCTCACGTTACAGAAATAATCCTCAATTTAGAGAGAAACAAAAACAAATCTTGGTCTCTCGTTACAGAAATAATCCTCAATTTAGAGAAAACAAAAGAAAAATCTTGGTCTCTCGTTAAAGAAATAATCCTCAATTTAGAGAAACAAAAACAAATCTTGGTCTCTCGTTACAGAAATAATCCTCAATTTAGAGGAAACAAAAGAAAAATCTTCGTCTCACGTTACAGAAATAATCCTCAATTTAGAGAGAAACAAAAACAAATCTTGGTCTCTCGTTACAGAAATAATCCTCAATTTAGAGAAAACAAAAGAAAAATCTTGGTCTCTCGTTAAAGAAATAATCCTCAATTTAGAGAAACAAAAACAAATCTTGGTCTCTCGTTACAGAAATAATCCTCAATTTAGAGAAAACAAAAGAAAAATCTTGGTCTCACGTTACAGAAATAATCCTCAATTTAGAGAAACAAAAACAAATCTTGGTCTCTCGTTACAGAAATAATCCTCAGTTTAGAGAAAACAAAAGAAAAATCTTGGTCTCACGTTACAGAAATAATCATCAATTTAGAGTAAACAAAAGAAAAGTCTTTGTCTCTCGTTACAGAAATAATCCTCAGTTTAGAGAGAAACAAAAACAGCACTTTGTGGGCCGCTACCGGGACAATGCTGAGTTTAGAAAGGTAAGAAATACTTCACTGCTTTTTATAAAAACAGCATTGATTTTCGACAAAAGAAGACAGGGAAAGAGAGATCTCATATTATTCAGCGTTATGCTCATGACCAGGCATTCAGGCTCAGACACAAACTAATGAAACAACGAATAAAAGACAGATATAAAAAACCTACATATAAGAGTATGCGGAACATGAGATGTGCCATGAAAATAAAAAGGAAATACAGAGGGATAAATAAACCAACAGAAGAAAGTGACAGCAGTTTGATGACAAGGGAGTCTTTCGTGGAGTCTTCGGGGCGGCTGAATGCGGCGCCTTCTTCTGCTATTTTTAATAATGTGTTTGACCCCTTTACCCGTGCCTGTTCAAATCTCTTCCCGCAGATACTACAGGCCTCGGGCTAGATCTGCTCTCTATCATAACCTCTCCTCTCTCTCCTATCCCACCCGCTCCACACACGTCCAGCACCTCGTCACAGGAGGTCTCTGGAACTGCCAGTCAGCGACTCGCAAGGCTGACTTCATCTCTGGCTTTGCTATCCAGCAGTCACTCGACTTCCTCGCTCTGACCGAGACCTGGATCACACCTGAAAACACATCCACCCCAGCCGCTCTCTCCTCCGCCTTCTCCTTCAGCCACACTCCCAGGCCCACTGGTATGGGTGGTGGCACAGGTCTACTCATTTCACCCAAATGGAGCTTTTCTCTCTACCCTCTACCACCATCCACCCCATTGTCCTTTGAATTACATGCTGTAACAATCACTCACCCGGTACAATTAACCATCATTGTCCTCTACCGTCCGCCAGGCTCCTTAGGTCATTTCTTGGAAGAACTGGACATTCTCCTGTCTAATTTCCCCGAAAATGGACCTCCGCTCATCCTCCTGGGTGACTTCAACATCCAGACAGAGAAGTCATCTGACCTCGTACACCTACTTTCTTCCTTCGCTCTGTCACTCAGTCCCTCTCCTACTCACAAAGCCGGCAATCACCTTGACTACATCTTTACTAGAAACTGCTCTACCACTAACCTCTCTGTAACTCCACTTCATGTGTCTGATCACTTCTTCATCTCTTACTCCCTTCCACTCTCTATAACTAACAAACCTCCCTCATTGACTAACTCTATACCGGCTCGTCGCAATATTCGCTCCCTCTCTCCCTCCTCGCTGGCATCCTCTGTTCTATCAGCTCTCCCTTCAACTGACTCCTTCTCACTCTTGCATCCGAACGCTGCTGCAGAGACTCTCCTCTCAACTCTTTCCTCCTCTCTAGACTCTCTCTGCCCTCTTACGACACGACGGACTGGCAAATCCCCTCCGGCTCCGTGGCTGTCTCAACCGGTCCGTGCCATGAGAGCCACCATGCGAGCGTCGGAAAGGAGATGGCGTAAATATAAACGACCTGACGACCTGCTTGAATTTCAATCTCTCCTCTCCTCGTTCTCTGCCTCTATCTCTGCTGCCAAAAGCTCTTTCTACGCGATCCTGTAGATACACGCTCTACAACATCAGGAGAATACGTCCCCTTC